CTATTATCCTGAATATAACTTTAATAATAATTTTTATTTTAGGAAAGTTTTAATTTACAGACAAGTTTCAAGGACAGTACAGAGAATTCAATACCCCTCATCCAGTTTCCCCAGTTGTTAACGTCTGACATTACCACAGCATGTTTGTCACAATTAAGAAACCAACATAGATTTATAGGAACTAAACTCCGCACTTCATTCAGTTCTCACTAGTTTTTCCCTAATGTCCTTTTCTTGTTGTTCCAAGATCCCGTGCAGGACACCGTATTACACTGAATCAATATGTGTCTCCTTACTTAGTTTCTTTGGGTCTGTGACAGTTTCTCAGACTTCCCTTGTTTTTGATGACCTTGACAATTTTGAAGAGCGCTGGTTGAGTATTTTGTAGGATGTTCCTTATTTGGGGGTTTGTCTGATGTTTTTCCTGTGATTGGCCTGGGGTCACTGGTTCTTGGGAGGAAGATCACAGGGGTGAAGTGCCATTCTCGTGGCAGCATGTCAAGGGTGCAGGCTGTTAACTTGACTTACCGCTCACGAAGTTAACCTTGATCACCTGGCTGAGGCAGTGTTCTCAAGCTCTCCCTGCTGTCGAGTTACTCCAGCCCCCCTTTCTGTGCTCTTCTCTTTAGAGCCATATCACTAAGTGCAGCCCACGCTCAAGGGGTAGGAAGTCAAGCTCCACTTCCTTCCAAGGGGATCCAGATAAATTATTTAGAATTTTTATGTCCCATTTATTTATTTATTGAATCATTTGTTTATATCAGTATGGCCTTATAGATATTTTTCATTTTCCTCAGCAACTTTTTAAAGACTGAGCAGGATGATATTTGGAGATATGGACTGACGTTGTTTTGAGTTCCAAAATGTGTCCTGTTTTGAAACCCTTACCAACATCAGTAACCTTGAAAACAAGGTTTTCAATTGAAGAGCCAGGCTTTTTATAAAACGTTGTGTATCTTTGTGGGGTGTGTGTGCGTGTCCAGAAGCTTGGCTATGAATGGCTATCCAAAGACTCTGGATAACTCAGAGCATAAGGTATGGGAAGACAAAATGAATATGTAAAAGCACTTATTCTGCCACAAAGAAGATAAAAGTTAGCTAGAGAGTGAGTAGTGTGGCAGCCTAAGAAGGGACTCTAGGCCACATTTCCCAGGGCTGGACCCCTCCACCCCAACACACACAAACAGTGGGCATTAAATCTGGGGAGCCACAGGACTGAGAAGGCCTGGGCCTCACCGCTGGGGTGAAGCCCACAGGACTGTATATCCCCATATAGAGATGCCTCCCCAGAGAATGCCAACATGCAGCCACCAGGGTCAAAAGGAAATGATGGTATGGAAGAGAAGACCTAAGACATCCCTGGCACCCCAACATAACACAGGAGAGCATCTAAAAGTGTCCCAAGAGGGGTGTGGAAGTGGCTGAGAGGAGGCTGGAAGATTGGGTCTGCCTTGCAGTCAGGGCGATAAAGAGGACCATGTGACCCTGACAGTTGTAGAGCAGAGCATTATGGGGACCCTTCACTGTAGATAAAGCAAGAGAGTGTAGGGATCAAAGATCAGCAAGGGTTGCCCATCTCAGCAGGAGCCACAATGGACGATGTCATGGAACTTTCTAGAAGGATGGAAATGTTCTCTATCTGGGCTGTCCAATATGGTTGGCAGCAGCCACATGAGGCTGCTGACCACTTGAAATGTGGCTAGTGTGACTGAGGAACTAAATTTTTAAATTATATTTAAGTTTAAGAAATTTAAATTTAAAATCTAATATTCAATTCAAATTGGAAAACTTTTATGTAAGTCTGGCACACATTAAGTATGTGAATCTAGTTTTTCAACAGCAAATTTGATGAACTCTTAATGGAGGTCAAACATTTTTGATAAAAATTTAGCATTCAATTTTGGATATGATGCTAATATAAAATACACCATAAATTTAAAAAACTTTTGAAGACATTAATGTGAAATAGCTCATTCATAATTTTTTTTATATTGACTCTATTGAGTCAATATTGAAATGATAATATGTTAGACAGATGGAGTCAGGTAAAATAGGTTGTTAAAATTCATTTCTGGGGGCCGGCCCAGTGGCGCAGTGGTTAAGTACGCATGTTCCGCTTCTCGGCGGCCTGGGATTCGCTGGTTCCGATCCTGGGTGCGGACATGGCACCACTTGGCACGCCATGCTGTGGTAGGCGTCCCACGTGTAACGTAGAGGAAGATGGGCATGGATGTTAGCTCAGGGCCAGTCTTCCTCAGCAAAAAGAGGAGGATTGGCAGTAGTTAGCTCAGGGCTAATTTTCCTTAAAAACAAAATTCATTTCACCTGTTTCTTCTAGTTTTTAAAACGTGGCTGCTAAAAAATTTTAAATTACCTGTGTGGCTCACTTTCTGGTTCTGCAGGACAGCAATGCTATGGAGCAATGGGAGCTATAGAAGGTTATAGAGAGAGGAAAGGCCCAACCCTAGAAAGGGCAGATGAAGCAGAAGGTCTGTAAGAGAAGCAAGAAGCAAACCTCAGAAGGCCCATATGTGTGGGTGGAGGGGGGGGGGGGGGGGGGGGAGCGTCTACATACAAGTCTACAGAGAACTATCATTTGTTGGCTCTGTACTATTTTCCAGGTGCTGTGCCAGGTGCTGCCTTCCTCTTATAAGGACCCTTTTGATTACATCAGGCCCACCCAGATAAACTAAGATAATCTCCCCATCTCAAGATCCTTAACTTAATCTGATCTGCAAAGTCCCTTTTGCCATATAAGGTCACATACTCACAGGTTCTGGAGGTTAGGAGGTGGATATCTTTGGGGGCCCTTTATTCAGCCTACCACACTGGGCTTATCCTTGGACTTCATTTATTAAAGGGTCAAGGAGCCCTCTTCAAGTCTGAGCCCATAAGAGATACTCTCTTCTGGATATCATGTGGGGTACCAATGAATTCTTAAGGTGAAAAGTGCCACTGTCTGATCACTGTCACCAACAAGCAACGTTTAGGCACATACTTTATGAAAGCCAATTCCTGTTGCCAGCAACGGACGTTCACAAGGGTATAGGCAGGCAAAGCCTATGTTCAAACCAGCGAGTGACACTGTCTCAAAATGACTTCCAAGTGAAATAACGTCAGGACAGACACCTAGCAGTGACTGGCACATAGTCAGTGCTCAATAAAAGTCAGGAGTTTGGAGGATTTCTCAGAATCTATTGTAATCAGTGAGTTGAGTTCAGGCAGGTTTGCCAAGCGAGATCCAGTTATGCCACAATAATCAAGCATGCCGCTGTCCTGGGCTACTTGAAACTCATGTCGAGAGGCTCTGATCACAGGCCACTTGAGCGCTATGGCTCTGGATAGCATCAGCTCCACGGACAAGAATCATCCACTAATGTGCTGGGCCTTAGCCACCGTTCGGCACGGAACCACGAGAGGAGGTTGCTCCTGCATTTCCTCTCACCCTTCTCAGCTCTGTCATATAAGGTGCTGTCCCTTTAACCACAGGTTGTCCAGAGAAACAAGAACTCTCCTCCCAGGGGATTATGATCCTCCCAACTGTGCACCAGAGACTCAGGGCTACGATGACATAGATGCCACCAAAAGAAAAGAAGAGAGGAACCAATTTTCCAGCCGACACAGAGCTGAATCTTTGTGAAGGAGCTGAAGGCCTTTCTGGATCAATAATACCATTTTCTGGTAAGGAAAAAATACCATTTTCTGGTAAAATGGGAGTAACTCTAGTAAATGAGGAGCCGTGAAAGTGTATTTAAACCTGTAGAACAGCAGTAAGAGGAGAGTCACACTGTCTTGCCGTAACTGGATATGTGCAGACCCACCGTGGATAGGAAAACAGACTTTTCCCTTTGACGGGAAGATGAACTGTTCTCCTACTTTGCGGAGGTTGGGAGAAACATAGCAAAACTCTGTGATAGTATTTCCTTGCATTGACTTGGGAGACAACAAATGTGGGCTGGATATTTGTGATGCTTGCCAGGAGAGTGGCCTTGGTAAACTACTCACCTCTCAGTGCCTCAGTCACATTATATAAAATAAAATCCCTGCCTCCTAGGGCTATCGAGAGAATTAAACGAGATATTGCATGGAAATGCTTAACACAGTGCTGAATGCACACCAGTTGTGCAAACATCTTTCCGCTGTTGAAATTTCCCTTAACACTCGGGAAATCACTAAGACTTTAGAAATCACCTAGTTTGACTCTCACTTTTACATATACCTTCTGGAGACATTTTGTCAAACATGTTTACTGTATACAAATTTCTACAAAGGTAATGTCTTGGCCTAAAACAGTCAGTGATCCTCAGATTTGACCACGGAATCATGAACTTCTCACAGATTCCCAAGTCAGGAAATGACTCTCTTCAAATGCAAAATGGCGGCTCTTCAGTTTCCAGTTCTCCTTAAAGGCCTATCCATACAAATCTATTCAAAAAATCAAAAGCAGACCAAAGAGATAGAAAGAAGGAATGTTAGTGACAAAAAAATGTTAAAGTTTAATTGAAAAATCCTACTCTATAATAGCTTGATTTGTATTTTATTACTAAGGATTGTGTTTGCATATGCAAGACCTGTTTCACTCTATGAACATAGCATGGGAAATGCTAAAATGTATATTCAGATCAGATCTGTTTATGATATTTAGTTTTAGATTTGTTGATATGTGAATTTGATGACTTATTAAGGTATGGAAAACTTGTCTATGGAGATATGGGAAATAAGAACAATTCATGAAAAATCATCATTTTTCAATTTGGAGAAGATGGAGAGGAGATTTGCATTAAAAACTACACCATAGGGGCCGGCCCGGTAGCACAGTGGTTAAGTGCTCACGTTCCGCTTCGGTGGCCCGGGGTTCGCCAGTTCAGATCCCAGGTGTAGACATGGCACCGCGTGGCAAGCCATGCTGTGGTAGGCATCCCACATACAAAGTGGGGGAAGATGGGCATGGATGTTAGCTCAGGGCCAGTCTTCCTCAGCAAAAAGAGGAGGATTGGCAGCAGATGTTAGCTCAGGGCTAATCTTCCTCAAAAGCAAACAAACAAACAAACAAAAATTACACCCTATTCTCCTTAGGAAGCAAGAATGTTCCAGGTGTCCCATGTCTTGAAAGTCTTTCCAACTCATCATTAAACTGTGACCAAGAAAGTTCAAAGTGATAGAAATGAAGGCTAGAATGCTTCAGACTGATGGGGGCTCAGGTCAGCCCTGAGAGCCTGAAGCACAGTGACAGGACATTAAAAGAGGCAGAAATAAGATAAGCCACCAAGATGTTGGTGGCTCCAATCCAATAGCTTTTCTAGGGTTTTTTTGTATGTCAAATAGCTAAAGCCTTCTGCCAGAAACAGTTTGGAGGTTTGATTTTTAATGCACAGCATTTATGGAGCCCTGGCCACATACCAGCCACTGTGCTAAGGTGCTCACTTAAATCCCAAACTAGCCAATGAAGAAGGTATTATCATTACTTCTCATCACACAGATGAAATGAGACTTGGAGATGCTAAGCAACTCGGCAAACATCATCCAGAGAGGCAAGTGTGGGTGCAAGTGTGCCTCTGGTATGTGTGTGTGTGTATTTAGGAGAGGGATGGTGTCTCACTTTCAGCAGAGTGCTAAATCATGACATGGCCCCAACACTTCCTCTCTTCTTTGCTCTTGATACCTCCACCACACTTACAGAAAATTGCCCAGGTAAGGCTTGATCCCTATTCTTTCTACCTTGACATAACAGAGAGTTTAATACCAATGATATTGGCAGAAATAGCTATTCCTGGGCTACAGTAAACTGCATTTGCAGCAAATGGGCCTCTCACTTCTCCAGACGTCACTCCGAGCAGCAAAGAAGGCCTGGCAACAACAATGAGGGGATGGTACGCCCTGCACCCTTTGTTCTATTGTTTATGTTATCACCATGCTGCAGGCTCAGGCACCCTTTGCACCTGCAGATTTTTCCACTCCACATAAGGCAACTAAGTAGGACTGAAGGGCAAAAGGGTGAGGGTGTTCACCATCAACAAGAAACCTTTATTGGAGAAGGCAGCACAAAGGAGACTGAATAGCAGAGAGGTTGCATAGGCAGGCCATATGGGTTCAAGCCTTGCCTCTGACGCCATGAGAGGGATACCCTTGTGCAAGTTACTTAGGTCTACATGGGTCTCAGTTTCCCCATCTGAAAGTGGAGATAATAACAGCACCAGCTTCACAAGCTTTTCATGAATGCTGAACGATATTAGGAGTGCATAGTGCCTGGTCTGCAGCAAGCACTTAACAAACATTGGCTTCTGTTACTGAAGATAGCTCTATGAGGTGTGCTAAGTGCTAAGCACGCAACACATAGCCTCTATCCACACCATCTAGGTAGGTTAGGGAGATGGGGCACACACTAAAAAAATAATTAATAATATAAGGTAGAAAATTGTCACATGAGTAGTACAGATACATACTACGGAAATACAAAGGAAGAAATAACAATGTTAGAAAAAAACCCTGCTGGATTACAGATGGCAGGCCAGAAAGGGAAGGGGACTTTACCAATGTCACAAAGCTAGTTTTGAAAAGAGTTGGGAGTAAAGTCTAGATCTCCTGATTCATACTGTAAAACTGTTTCAGGAAACTATGCCACAATAGCACTAACGAAAATAATCTTAACAATAGCATTAGTTAACACTTTGAAGATACTTTTTACGTGACAGGCATTTTCACACAATATCTTATTAAACCCTCATGGTAACCCTAGGAGAGAGGTATTATATTTTCCCCCATTTTACAGATGAGAAAGTCGAGGTACAGGAAGCATAAACAATTTGCCCAAAGTCCGACAGCCAGAAAGTGGCCCAGCCAGGACTTAAATGAAGGTTTCTAAACAGTTATCATGGAGGACTATAATGAAAGAGAGGAAGGCAGGGGAGCCAGAGGCAAGGGGAATGACAGACTGAATCTTGGCGGTAGAAATGGACATTCATGAAAAGTGAATGAACTGCTCTTACTGGAAGAGGAAATTCAGGTAGAGGAGTTAGAAAATACGGTTAGAACAGAGTATGAGGCAGAGAGAAGGGGGCTTGAATGTCAATCGAGGCAGCAAATTTTCTGTTTGTCTGCTTGGTTGGGGAGAAGGTAGGGACAGAAGACAGGAGCTTGACAATTCTATAGTTGTGTGTTTTGTTTTTAAGACTGATCTGGTCACAGACAGAATGAAGGAGAGTCCAGTGGCAGGGAGACTGGTCAGCGGCCAAATGTCGCAGCTCCAAAGAAGGATAGGGTGTTTTTCAGGTGTTCCCCAACTTTCTGAGGTCACACGGCCACAAGTCCACTTCCCAATCTCACTATAGAGCATCACGAGAGACTAACACTCTCCACCCGTCTCTCCCCACAGGCTGCAGTATTCCCACATCTGTATTAGTCAACAAAGCCCTTTGGGAATCATGAAGATTCTTTTCTGCTACCAGACGTTCAGATTCATCTGGCTCCCCAAGCCATCTGGCCGGCACTTTCACAAAGATCACCAGCTTTGGGCACCTCTGACTCTTGCTGACTTTGAAGCCATAAATCGCTGTGAGAGGTCATTGCCTAAGAACTTTAACTTTGCTGGGGATGTGCTGGACCAGTGGTCCCAGAAAGAGCAGGTATAAGATGACGGGCTTCCACTAGTTGCTTGGTGTCTCAGCCTTCCATTCCCTTATTCTTCCATTCCACCTGTCACTTTTAATTCAGCTCTTTCATCCCTCTTGGTTTCCTTTGCTTGTTTTCCTCCTGTCCTCCTTTCTCCCCAGGGAAGATCTTTGATCCTCAACTACACGTGGCTGTCTTTCTCTGGAGCCTCCCAGGTTCCCCTCATCCTGGCTACTCACAAAGTTAGGCCTCTTTTCCTTCATTTTCTCCAAGTCCCATGCAGAAGCTCCTTGCTTTCCATTCATTTGTTCAGGCTAGTCACAGGTTTATCCAAAGATCAGTAATTTGAGCTTCGGTTTTATGAATAGTCATCACTGGAGTAATTAGGAGAGAATCAGAAGTTGAGAATACAGCAACAAGCCTTGAGAAGTTTGTGGTGCAGCCTCAGGTCAAGGTCCCTGCTTACTGATCCCACCCCATGGCAGGCACTGAGCTAAACACTTTGCCCATCAGAGCTTACCAAAAGGCACTGCGAGGACCTGTGCTTCAGCAGATGCAGGTACTGGGTATACACGGTATTAAAATACATTGCATCAATCCTTTCTATTAGAGAGAGGGGAAAGTCTTCCTTTAAATCTGTTATGTCTTTAACAGCTCTCTTTCACTTGCTAAACTCTCTTCTGAATAGAGAGAGCAGTTAGAAATTGAAAATCTCTGGATAAAATTTCAGGGCATATTTTGTTTTCAATATATTCATTTTTCAGTAACCTATTTTTAGCAAATGGTACTAATTTTCCAATTATGGTCGTAATTAAATGCATTTTCCTTAAGTAAATGTATACAAGTACATGTATACGATGTAAAGAAAAAGACAAAGAACAATGGCACAGGTGTAGACAGATCTGGCAAAAAAAAAAGTGGTACTCAAATGACTCAAGGTTGAGAAATACTGACCTATTATTTCATGAAATCCCCATCACCACTGTGGGGGGTTGCAGATAAGGAACTTAACCTCATAGAACACAAGCTACTTATCCAAGGTCAGCAGTTGCAAAGGGACAGGAACTAGCCCCGGATCTTAGGGAGCTTATACCCTATAGGGTAGGGCCACATCTGGAACACAGCACAGTATAATGGAGTCACCTGGAACACGAGCACAGAGCTGCAGGAACCAGGAGAAGTCAGAGAGGAGCAGAGGAGGAGGCTAAGAAGGGCTTCACAGAGGAAGTAAAATGGAAATTGGGCTTTGAAGTACTTTCCAGCCAGGGAAGGTAAAAGGAGAATTGCAGATAGGGAAAGGCAGGGAGAGTCATTTTCTTCCAGGTAATACATAACGCAAAGAGGTTTTGCAGTATAGATGACCTGCCTTGTAGAATCATGTATGAGAAGGCTCTTCCAGAAATCAATCAAGTTGATGCCCCTCCCCTAAAGGCCCTCCACCCTATTCCCAGTTACCTACGAAAGCCCATCCCTCAAACTTTTGAGTAAAAAAAGATGTTAAGGCCCTAATCAACCTTAGTACCCCGACTAGGGTTATTTGGATGGAACAGAATCCAGCTTAAGCAAGAAAGACATTCATCGGAGGGATATGGAAGAGCTCACAAAATTGGGTTGGAAGCTGGAGTCAGTCTCAGAAGGCGAGGAACCTGCACAGCTCCCCGGGGATGCACAAGTACCAAGAGCAGACAGACAGCTTGCTCCAACCATTTTCTATCCTTTGGTTCTTTTCAGACAACTCAAAATCAGGGAGAGAAGGCCTGCTTGACCCAACTTGGGTGACATGCCACCCACTGGTCAGGGAAGGACGAGCACCCTGATGGGCTGTCTCCCCAAGGCTCAATAGGAGAGGAGTAGTCCCCCCGAAGACAAACTGGGGTGCTGTTACCAGAACCCACTGGCATAGGTGCTGAGGGGAAGTGACAGCAGACGTCCCATCTACTTGGTGACCAGTCATATAAGCCTTTTCTCTTTCCCGTGTGCCCTGGCCAGACAGGAGAGAGACCAGCCAACCCAGCCCTGTGGTGGGTGAACGGCAAAGGGGACGAGGTGAAATGGAGCTTCAGAGAACTGGGCTCCTTGTCCCGAAAGGCTGCCAACGTGCTCACCAAGCCTTGTGGCCTAAAGAGAGGAGAACGAGTGGCTGTGATTCTGCCCCGAATCCCAGAGTGGTGGCTCCTAAACGTGGCTTGTATGCGAACAGGTCAGTGCCAACATTTAACATTTCTAAATCACACAGAAACAGAGAGAGACTGAAAGTTGAGGTTTTTCTGAATTGTTAGTTCTGACTGAAGCTCTGCTTACAAAGGACAGAAAAAGAAGAGTTGAAATTAAAAGCAATCATGATGTAATAATAATAACAACTACCATAAGAGGTAGGTATTATTGTGATGCCTATTTTGCAAGAGAGGAAACTGAGGCTCAGAGAGGTTAAGAAGCTCGCCCAAAGTCACACAGCTAGAAAGCTACGGAATTGGGATTTAAACACAAAGCTCTATGAGAGCAAACGTGGGTATTGACGCCTCTTGGCAGTGCTGGTTATGATGTGTTCATCCAGATGATCCAGAATTTACTCCTCTGAATATATCTGGATTCTCCTTGAGATGAATATGCAAAAGGAAGAAAAACATTTTACAACACAAGGACTTGAGAGAATATGACTGTGGATCCTAATAGGAAAACCTCTGCCTCTTGCCATACAGAAAGGTTAATGTATTCAACGACATATTTTCTCCCAAAGTGGTAATTTATAATGTACCCCAAATAAAAATTCTAGAGGATTCTTTTGCCTCCTAGGACAGGGATCGGCAAAAACCATGGCCTAGGGATGGTCATCTATTTTTGTAAACAGAGTTTTAATGTTTTAACGGAATACAGCCATGCTCCTTTGTTTACATATTGTCTATGGCTTTTTGTTCTAAAACAGCAGAATTGCTAATTGAGACAGAGATGGTACGGCCCACAAAGCCGAAAATATTTACTATCTGGCCCTTTACCAGAAAAGTTTGCCAAACCCTGCTCTATAACATGATATAAATGTTCACAAATCAACTAAAAATAAGATTATCAAAGGATATATTACTGTGGAGAATACAAAGATCTTTGTTCCAATATCGTTAATAATAGAAAAAATTGGAAACAACTATATAGAAATGATTAAGTAAATTATAATTTACCTGAGACTAAAGTATAGTTGAGGTATGTTCATTGCTAATTGAAAGTATGATGCCTTGCTTTGATGGGATGTTATTAAAAGGATAATTATAAGGATTTTATAATGGTGTTGAAAAATGCTCTTACTGCCAATGTGAAATAAAAACAGGAATATATAAAATTTTTTTGCATTCACTATTAAAAGGAACTTGCAAATGTGAAACCAATTATGGGGTGGAAGGAGATTAAAGGTGGTTTGCATGTCATAAAAAATGTATTTAATACTACTTAACATAATTTACGCAATTTGTGACATGCCAAGATTAAAACAAACCCGCAAGTTGAATGGTCAAAAATATCCAGTTAATTAAATGTTAAGCAAGCAACTGAGGATTGTTTCCTAACTCAGAACTTTTAAATCTTCTGAGCGAATGCTGAAATGCTTGTACAACACCACATGGTGGAAAATTTTGCTTTTGCTGTAAAGCGTATGCAGTCTAAGATCCGCTGGAAGAGAAGGTGCGCCTTAACCTCCGGACTGGATATCTATCCATTGAACATATTCATGTCACAGATCCACCAAGAGTACTGACCCCAAGCAACGGGCTCACTTTGCTCACCATGATGTGAGCCTATTAATCACAACGAGTTAGGGATCGAGAAAGGAAGTTTTAATTCAATTAGCCAGCATAATCGGGAAGATGGCAGACTAATGTCTCCAAAACCATCTTCAAGGATTACAGAATCTTGAGGCAGTTATATAGGGAAAACGGGCGGTGAGGAGGGGGTCCAGGGATGTTGGTCTCCAGGCATCACATTGTTCCACTCTTCTGTCAGCTGTGATGGATGCCTTGTAAGTGTTTCTCCCGCCTGTGGTCAGCCTGTTCCTGGAGAGAAACTCGGAGAACAAAGTTTCAGTTTATCAAGCTACCAGGGAGTACATGTGTAAGTGGAGGCCATAAATCAGGAGAGCATGTGAAGATTTTAGAGTACTTGCAGAGCTGTGAGTAGTCACACAGAGGAGGGGCTGGCGTAAGAAGATGGCCTCACTTATGCTCACTTACAGTACTAACAATTTCTGAGCCTATAAGATCACACAGTTTGCAAAATAAACAATCTTATATTTTCATACTAGTGAACGAGCTGAAGTCCTCTGAGGTGTCTTCTTAATTAATTTCCTTATCATCACATATTTATTCATTTTTCTCAAGAGGGGATGACACGTAAGAACTTTTAAAGTATATTCAATACATAAAATCTCCTTCCAGGAATTCAACTCCATAGCTTATGATTATTTTCCTCATTTTACAGATAAGGAAAGGAAGGCACAGAGAGATCAAGTAACAGGCTCAAGGTCACAAAGCTAATAAGTTGCAAAGACAGGATTGGACCCAGGGACTGGCAGACTCTGAAGCCAGTACTCTAAGAGTCTCCCAGTGATCAGGGTCCTGCGGGAAATCTCTGGGGACCAAGGCAGGGTATCTGAAGGCTGGATTCCACAGCTCCTCCTCACTCAGGCACAAAGCTCAAGTTTCCAGAGTCCATCACCTTACCTAATAGACAACAGTTCTCTTCAGCTCAGGGCCCTCTCTCCTTCCCAGGACTTGTCTTCATGCCAGGAACAACCCAGCTGACAGCAAAAGACATCCTCTATCGGCTACGAGCATCCAAGGCCAAGTGCATTGTGGCCAGTGAGGAGGTGGTCCCAGCAGTGGAGTCCATTGTGTCAGAGTGCCCTGATTTGAAGACCAAACTCCTGGTGTCTCCACGCAGCCAGAATGGGTGGCTCAGCTTCCAGGAGTTATTTCAGTGAGTATTTGCCCTCACTTCAACTCTGGTACCAGCAATAACACCAATCACAGCTACATCTCAGAGTCTCCTTGCCTCCAAGGACTCTGCAATACTGTGGGTTGATCCTGGCTCCCTCCCAGAAAAGAAACACCTAATAAAAGACTTTGAAGGACAGAAAGAAGGGATGTAGCTCTGCCTCCACTTCCCTGTTTCCTGCTATGGCCTGTGATGAGTATCCTGCATGGCTTGCCCTTGCCTAACTCCTGGACCACATCTCCCACCACTTTTTCTGCCTTGACTCCCTCTGGCCACCCTTTTATTCCTCCAACATGCCCCACCTCCGGGCCTTTGCACCTACTGTTTCTTCTGCCTGGAAGAAATGCTCTTCCTCAGTCCTTTTTACAGTTGTCTCCTTCCTGTCAGATTTCAGCTGGCATGTTTTCTCCTCAGGGAGGCTGTCCCTGACCACCCCATCTAAAGTAGAGTTCCAAGCCACTCCAATACATCATCTGCTGTTTTCCTCATGGCACTCATTGCTATCTGAATACCATGTGTATTCTTTTGTTCCCTTATTTACTGTCTGTTTTTCTCCTCTATGCTAGGGGTTGGCAAATTAGGGCCCATGGGCTGATTCTGGCTTAGCACCTGTTTTTTAAATAAAGTTTTATTGGAACACAGCCACATCCATTTGTTTACATATTGTCTATGGCTGCTTTCATCGTACAAGAGCACAGCTGACTAGTTGCAACAGAGACCTGATGGTCCACAAAGTCTAAGATATTTACTCTCCGGCCCTTTACAGAAAAAGTGCACCAACCGATGCCCTAAACTATAAGCGCTAAGATGGTGAAGGCACTGTCTGTCTGTCTGGTTGATCACTCTGTCCCCAGTTCCTACCATGTAGTTGGGGCTGAAGAAAAATTTACTGAATGAATGAACAAAACAGATCACTTAACCTCAGTTTTCTCACATGAAAAATGGGAATAATTATACTGTACATACCTCAAGGGTTGTTTTGAGGATAAAATAAGTTATATGTGAGAAAGTGCTTCCTAAACTGTAAAAAAGGCAGTAAAACGTTAATTAATGGTATTATCCTTCAAAGAGCTGTTAATAGCTTATGTTTAAAAAAAAAAAAAAAAAATCCTTCCAGAGAAGCTTATAGAAAGAAGACAAGTAAACCCCGTTGAATAATAGGGCAGTTTCCTCTGTTGGAATGGAATTTTATCCTACTAATTGATATAAACCAAATCCTATTGGTCGATCCCAAAATTCTCTCCCAAGCGCCATGCCAGTGAATCCTGTTTGTGTCTTTCATTGACTGTGGAACTTTGGATAAGTTGTTACATTTCTGAAACTATCTTATCCATAAAACAGGGGTAAGCATAGCATCTACCTCATGGGGTTGTAAAAGACTCAAATGTGATGAAGGATGTGAAGTGTCTAGCACAATGCCTGGCACACAGTAGTCACTCCGTAAATATTATAGTAGTTATTGTTGCTATTATTATTTTCAAGTTAATAAAGTCACTCCTCAGTTCTGTGATTCCCTAAGGTAATGTATCCTGATTATTTGAATATGCACCTATATTAGAAAAATATTTTTAACACACTCCCCTAATACATGTATATTTATTTATTTATAAATTATATATGTGTACTTTTGTGCACTACATAAATATCAAATATTAACATTTTAAAGGACAAATAAAAGAATACATATAATTTGAAGTCCTCCTATTTTCCTCCATCCCCATTGTCTTGTATAACTCTGGGCAGCAAGTACCTCAACTTTGGAGACTCCTGTCCTCAACAACTGCAACATTCTGCTGACTCCCCAAGAAAGCATAAAGGTGTCACAAAATTCCCCCCAAAAAATGCCTTGGAACTCATGTGAATTTCAAATTGAAATTTGCACATTTTGGGGATAGTTTCCAAGACAAAGGAAATCCCTATTTCAAACAAACAACTCTGGAGTGTCATAACTCTAAAAATGCCTTGGATTGTTTCTCTAAAAACTAAGGAAAAAAGAGCTGCCATGGCCAACAGTTGGCCAGTCTTTCAGAAAACCACACGCAGCAATAATGAGGGCTAATTTCACATTGTTAGCGTCAACCTTTTATTCAAGGAGTTCATTTTAAGGCCTCTCACTCTCCTTCTGCCTCCCAAGGATAAAAGTCCATGAACGCTTTCCAGAATATTTTAATAGGATGGAGAAAAGGTCAAAATTATGGGCCAGACTGATGTTTCCCTTTTCCTATCCTGGCAAAAAGGACCCTTCCCGGTGGGTCTAGAACCCTGGATTCTGGTCTTAAGGGGACTGAAACAGTGTTCCAGGCAGAGGAACAGCAGGAGGAAAGCTATGGAGGCAAAAAACATTCTATGATGTGCAGAGAATGAACACAAGCAGTTTAGGGTGCCTAGAGAACAAAATGTGAAGTCAGAGTAGACGTCAGAAGAGCAAGCACAGGCCAGATTATGGCCTCTTATATAAAGATCTCATACGCCATGCTAAATCTTTAACTTGACTCTGTCAGCAAGAGAAGCCACTGACGAGTTCTAAGAGGTGAAGTGTCGAGGTCAGTTTTGGATTTTAAATAGATTTATCTGGCAGCTGTATCGAGGATGAATTTGAGAAGAACCAAATTGGAATCTGAGAGACCATCCTGGAGCCTAGTCTAGGGGAGAGATGAGGTGGGTCTAAATCTGAGCTCTGGTGAATGGGATGGAGGGAAGGAGGCAAACTAAAGAACCAGCAGGACTTGGAGATTGATTGGACGTGGAGGATGAAGGAAGAAGTCAAGGCTGATCTGCTTCTTAACCTGGGTGACTCAGTCAGTGGGGTACTATCAGCTGGAGAAAGAGTTTAAAGTTGGACATATTGAGATTGAGGGGTCTGTGAACATCCAAATGTCTAGCAGGTGGTAGATATATGAGCCTCAGACTCAAGGAGGTAAAGATACAAATCTGGAAGTCATCAGCACATAGTCAGTTCTAAAAAATCCAGAGAGACATAACTCAGGTATCCAAAGAAAGAGAGACAAGTCAGATAATGGAATCAGTGCTTAAAACTCTCTTTGGCATTCACAGATCATAATGTCTCTTCTTTCAGTAAAAGAAAAAAAATGAAAAGCCTTATATCAAAAGGTTTCCATACTAGATTGAGAAGCATTAAAAACAAGAGTTTTCTTTCTTTCATGGTATTAGATACGGTGAAGAAAGCCCCCTTTCTCCAGCCCAACACCTACCAATTTCGCCCTATATATATATATATAATCATGCACCACATAGTGATAATTTCAGTCAACAACAGACTGCATATATGATGGCGGTCTTAGTAGACTAATATCATATAGTCTACGTGTGTGGTAAGCTATGCCATCTAGGTTTGTGTAAGTGCACTGAATGATGTTAGCACAATGAAATTGCCTAACGATGCATTTCTCAGAACATATCCCCATCATTAAGTGGCGCGTGACTGTACTGAAGAAAATCAATACAAATGAATCTTTTTCTATTTTGAGGGGGAGGAGGCAAGTTACCAAGAAAACCACATTAATAATTCATGAAACCATTTTTGATGATATGCTGTAAGTTTATGTGATTAATCTTCACTGTGTTTTACAGTTTTAATTCATCATCAGGATGAATTAAAATGGCATCCTCAACCTTGTTTCCTTCAACCTGGGAAATTAAAAATACGATACGAGTTCCAAAAATTCTTAGGTATTGTATCAGTTATCCGATACTGGGTAACAAATCATCCCAAAACTCAGTGGTATAAAACAAAAATCATTTTATTTACTTATGATTCTGTGAGTTAGAAGTTCTCACAGGCCTCAGCAGAGGCAACTGTCTCTACTCCACATCAGCTTGACTGGGGCTGGAGGATCCATGTGGGTTCACTCATAAGTCTGAGGCTTTTGTGTTGCCTGTTAACTGAAGCACCTCACTTCTCCCACACACGGCCTCTCTCTCCACCAGGACAGTATCAACATTCTTAATGGTGGCTGGGTTCCCCCCAGTGAAAGTGAAAACTATGAAGCCTCTTGAAGCCTAGGCTGAGAAATTGCAGAACTTCTGCCACACTCTATCAGTTAAAGCAAGTCATAAGACCACCCCAGGTTCAAGGAGAGAGGACATAGGCTCCACCCCTCAATGAGCAAGTGGAATGCTTACACAGGGATGGAAGGAATTGTTGGAGCTGTGTATGCAGACAATCTCACAGATATTGTTATCAGGTAGAAAGCTCATGGCTTTAGTAATGGGAGACCCAAGTAAAGGTGGCTTAAACAATACAATTTTATTACATCACAAATAAGCATAGAGGTAGAGTGGAACGAGAGTTGGTTAATTCAGTGGTTTGATGAAGTGAGCATGGACCCAGATTCATTCATCTTTCCATGATGCCACCCTCAGTGTCTGTCAGTCCCCTTGTGATCCCACCATGGCTAAGGTAGTTCCAGACATCATGCACTTTCATACCAATATCCAAAGGCCAGAAAAGAAGAAGTGGGGTGGGGAAAGGCAGCATCCCTTCCTCATGACTCTTTTAGAACAAAGAAACATTTCCCATAAAGCCTTTAAATCTCATTGACCATAACTGCATCACGTGACCATCCCTAAAGCAGTCCCTGGTAAGTTAATCAACACTCACTCCCTGGAGCTACAGGGAACAGTCTCCTCTCAAGCACATGGCTGCCTGACAGCTGAACAAAATCAGAGTTTTATCAGTGCAAGAAGAATGGGATGCTATTCGGTGAGCAACTAACTGTGTCTGGCAACGATACTGAAGATATTGAATAAAAAATATTAAAAAGTTTGATTCAAATGCCAAAAGATCGTCCTTTAAATCACAAAAACTCCTGAAATAATAACAATTTATAAAAATTCAATACTGATTTTAAAAAATTCATAGGGTAAAAAAAAGCACTTAGAAAAAGTTTAAATAAATAAAATACATCCTTTTGTTATTGATATTGAAAGTTATCTTCCCTTTCTATTTGGCCTATAGGGAGGTGGAGCTTAAAAAGAGAGAGAAAAGGAGCTGTTAAATCTTAGCACTGATGTGCAAAGTCCCTCTAAGATTTCTTCAGAAATTCCTCTCAGCGAGGCTCTGGATTAGGCTCTGTTCTATTAACTATCCTCTGGTATCAAGAGGACATAAGGAACAGAACGAAAGAACTATCAGAATTAAACTGGTCTGCCATCTTCAGCCACCATCTTGGGGTCCATATTTTACAGATCCGCGTCTGCAGAACACAGTTGTGTGGAGACAGGAAGTCAAGAACCAATGGCCATCTACTTCACCAGCGGGACCACAGGCTCTCCCAAGATGGCCCAGCACTCTCAGAGCAGCCTTGGAATTGGCTACACCCTCTGTGGAAGGTAGGGAGGAAACTCTGTTTTTGCTAAACTCTCCCCTGAGCTGCCAGCACGTGTACCCAACTGTCTAGCAGACGCCTCTGCTAAGATGGCTCTTAGATATCTCCAGTGTAACGTCTACAAAACAGCACTCTCGACGCCCCTGCCCAAACTTAGCTCAGTAAATGGGCACCATCTCATCAACTGATCAAGCAAGAACTTAGGAGTCAACAATGATTCAGTCCTCACAACAGCATGTCTGGCTCCTTCTCCTCATTGCCAGGTAAATGTCCCCACCCAGAGAGGCCCTCCTAGATATCCTAAAACAATCCCATTACTCTGTTTTATTTTCCTCATAACACTTATCACTATTTGAAATTATGACACTGATTTATATAATTACTCACTTTATTGTGTGCTCATTCACTATCTAGCTCCCTAAAATAAGAGCAGAGATCTGGTCTACCTTGCTCACCTTGCTTGGTAGAACAGTGCCTAGCATATAATATTTGTTCAATAAATATTTGTTGCATTAATGGCCAAACTCAGAAAATCATGCCAAACCCAGCTTCCCACTCCCCTCTCAGACTACCTAGGATTCTGAAAAAATCCTCTAACAAAAGCAGGGGGTAAAATCGCTCACCCTGCCTTGGGGCTTCTTTTGACCCTCCTCTGCAGCCACTGAGGTTCTGGCCAGTCCTCAAAGACACCAGTTTGTTTGCTCTCCTGATTTTTTTTGTGTGTCTTTTTGCTTCTCTGCATCATTTAGGTATTGGCTAGACCTGAAGTCCTCAGATATCATTTGGAACATGTCCGACACTGGCTGGGTCAAGGCTGCCATTGGCAGTGTGTTTTCTTCCTGGCTTCAGGGAGCCTGTGTCTTTGTGCATCGGATGGCCCAGTTTGACACTGACACCTTCCTAGATGTAAGTCATGACTTCTAGCTACATCTCTCCCTTGTCTCTCCCAAAGCCACAGAAAAATGATTCCTCAGCATACAGGGCTTCTTGGGCTTATGGAAAACATTCCTTTTTAAGAAGCAAAGTCTCCAGGGACTCGGTTTTTGAATGTATTTAACCGAGTGGAGAGGGAATATCCACCACACTCTCAGGTATAAAATTCACTCTTCTGCTTCAAATTGTTCAGGATGTGCTAGTGTCGCTAAACCTCTGGCCGCTTAAGAGTCTGGTTCTAAGTAACAGATCAGAAATCTCAAGTCCAAACAAATCTTTGGTTTCTGATTCAGTGAAACAAAGACAATGCTGATAAATCCGAAGCCCTGTGCAGGGGAGACTGAAGCTGGGCTCACCTTTCTCGCAGAGCAGCTCCTTCCATTCTCCCCTCACCCCATGCTTCTCACTCTGTTAATTCTCAGAACCCAAGATTCTGGAAACCAGGCATGCCTCTCCTTCTCAGCCAGAGACAGTTAGATTGAGGTATCAGATGACACCGATTTCTTTAGCCTTTAGAAAAATGTGATTCAGGCCAATTATTTTTCAACCATGAAAAATCAATTAAGTTGAATGAAATACATATTATTAAATAAGCACCACACCTGTGTGTGAACAAAAGCTATACTCACCCTGCAATTTTGCTAACTGGTCTGATGAGATGGCTTGAGGGTCTTAACAGAAATGTAGGGTAACATAAGAACTTGGATCTCTGCGTCAGGTTTACAAAGTGCCCTAAAGTAGATAAGTTAACTGTGCAGTTTCCAAATCTACATTTCATAAAATAAGAATATTGTTTTTTATAAAATATTAAATATTTTATAATATTTAAGTGAGAATATTTAAAACATTCTTATTTTAATATTCTTATTTAATATTATATTAAATAAGATAATGAATAATAAATATTGACATTATCAATTATTAATAATTAAGATATTAACATATCTTGATATAATATTAAATAATATTCTTATTTTACAAAGATAATATGTATATTTTAATGTGTCATGGATTGACACTATTCTTAGTTATATACACTACACTTGCTAAGAACAGTTGGAATTGAGGGAGCAAGTACACACAGTAGAAATGCTCACTTACAGATCAAAAGTTATTCTTGATCTCTGACAATGCAGATAGCCTAGATATACATCTTGAACACATTTTCCCAAATGCCTAAATTTAATATAAATTGTCAACTCATTACATGACATAGTGAACCTCTCTAGAAAGAGGATCTCTAAAATATTAGTATTTCTCCAGATTTAAGATGTCTAGCTTATTATTTGAGCTTTAGCACTGGAGGGATAATGAGCCCAGCAAATCTTAAACAATTAAGAAAAATCCTGAAAAATGCCTTACTTATGCATTTAACCAATCCATTCTAAAGCACCAATGTCTTTTATAGAAACAGTGTTGGCTCAAATGCAACAATTTATTTTTTGTTGAATTTGATTATGTATGTCTATTACTGTTACATATAAACATTCTTTCCAATAATTGGAAATTTCCAAAAGACATACACCTATTAGTGACAACTAATAAATATTTGCTTTCTTATTCCTAATAGTGACCAAGAGATGGGCACAGGTTAATGAAAGAAAGTGAGAGGTTAGACATCAGCTCTAATTCTGGCCTTTAATTAACCACTTTTGACATCTGTGTCTTTCTCCATCGTGCAGACGCTTACCACTTATCCCATCACCACCCTGTGCAGCGCGCCCACTGTGTACCGGATGCTTGTGCAGAAAGACCTTAAGAGGTACTGGGGCAGAAATCTCCATTTGAACCACAAACAAAAGCTACAATCCAGCATCACAGATCTCCCCTTTTCAGAACAGGAAAGCCCAGGCTTTCTCAGTCTTGACACTATTGACATTTTGAACCAAATAATTCTGTGTCGTGAGGGGCTGTCCTGTGCATTGTAGGATGTTGAGCAGCATTCTAGCTGGCCTCTACCTACGACATGCCAGCAGCACCTCCCACTCCACCAGTCGTGACAATCAAAAATGTCTTGAGGTATTGCCTGCCTAAAGTCTCCTAGGGAACAAAATCGTCCCCCAGTTTAAGAATAACAAGGAGCAACTAGGGGCAACCGAACATTTTCCTGGGGACAATCAGAGCCTTACAGTCCCAGAACTCCCACCCCCTCCCCCCACCAAAAGACACAACTACATTTATACTGCCTTAAAGGGATGCTAATAAAGTCTTAGGACTTGAAGATTATATTCAACTCAGGCAAATCACCTGACTATCCAGTGGAGTTGCACTGTCTATTCATCTAACTAATATGAATTCAACACATGAGAAAAGAAAGACAGACTCAATTAAATGGTGCAGCCTCACCCATCCTGTTCCCCGAGGTGGGGACGTCCAGGAGGGAGAGTGCTGAGACAGAATAAAGCAGATAGGAACATTCTCTTATCCTAGTCAGTGTCAGCTCCTTTGTGGCCCTCAAAGTAATTCAAGGGCTAGTCGGAGGTTTTTCTGAACAGGCACCATTCCTGTCCTAGCACACCCTCCTGCTCAGTTGGGACGTCACTGTATCACAGTCGGGCTGTTTCAGACTTCTTCAACCGAGTCTTGGGGGCAGCTGAGTAGTAAGGCCAGCAGTTAAAAGCTCAAGCTCCAAGTCAAACAGGCAGGGCTCTGCTACTGACTAACTTGTGACCTCAGACAGTGAAGATGACCTTGCTAAGCCTTCCTTCACTCCACCCAAAAGAAAGGATTAAGAGGCACCTCATTGGGTGGTGGTGAGAATTCAATGAGAGACCAGGAAGCATCCAACTCCGCCCTTTATTATTTGAGGGCTTGGGCAAGTTCTTTAACTTCTCTCAGACTCAATTTCCCTGTAAAACAGGGGCTGTGAGGATTATGAGAGTGCTCCTAAAGCGCTTACAACAACAGACGGAAATGCTTGATTAACATTAGCTGTTATGCCACCTGGCATAACCATTATTAGCATTTTCTCCTGCTTTTTTCCCTTTAATAGCCTGCTAAAATGTAAGCTCTGTCAGGAATCCTTGTTTTAATCACTAACATGCCCCACTTGCCTAGAACAATGTCTGGAAATGTATTAGGTGCTTGGCAAATATTCGTTGAATGAACTTTCCTGAGACTTGCCTCTCCTAGTTCCTTTACTTGTTGCTTGAATGTCCTAATTACCTTGTAATAGAAGCCACTCAGATTTCTCTCCTGAAAGACCCCACACAACTCTGACTCTCCAGATATAAATTCAAGAACTTGCAGCACTGCTTGACGGGAGGGGAGCCGCTCAACCCAGAGGTGCTGGAACAGTGGAAGGCGCAAACTGGGCTGGAGCTGTACGAAGGCTACGGACAGACCGAAGTGGTATGTTTAATGGGCAAAGTTTAAGTTTAGCATATTGGGAGCCTTTCAACCCCAGGACTGTGAATTGAGCCCCTGAAGTGCCCTCATCCTGCTCTAAATTTTTATGGAGTTTCCCAGAACACCTTGCGCAACCTCTAAATTGCTGAATTACATTTTGCCAAAGGGGAATTGTGATTATTCCTTACAGTCTTCCCGTCTCCTCCTGACGCAGGAGAGTCTCAGAGGTGTTAGGGGTTGGAGAAGTTCAGAATTGAGCAGCTCAACTTTCCATTGCACTGGGAAGGACCCCGGAGAGCCCCAAGGTGCACTTAATGGTACGCTTAGTCTAAAGGACTGGTTTTCAAAGTGTGGTCCTCAAACCAGCAGGATCAGCAGCATGTGGGAATTTGGTAGGAATATAAATTCTTCACACACGCTGCCACCACCCAGACCTACTGAATCAGAAACTCTGGGATGGGGCCCAGCAATTTGTGTTTTAACAGTGCTCCAGGTGATTCTGTTACACACTCCAGTTTGAGAACCACTGGTCTAAAATTATATATTTCACAAGATGAGCTTGAGTACTGGGAAAATGAGTCAAAACTGAGTCTCAAGTTTCATTGTCATGATAAAAATAGCTACAGATGGGGCCAGCCCCGTGGCATACTGGTTAAGTTCAGCACACTCCCCTTTGGCAGCCCAGGTCCACAGGTTCAGACCTGGCACAGACCTACACCACTCATCAGCCATGCTGTGGCGGCAACCCACATATAAAGTGGAGGAAGATTGGCACAGATGTTAGCTCAGGGCTAATCTTCCTCAAAATAAAAAAGCTACAAAAATGAATTTTTACATGCTTATATAGAACATGTTCTCTCAATAGGGAATAATTTGCGCCAACCTGAAAGGACAAGAAATTAAACCGGGCTCCATGGGGAAAGGAGTACTACCCTATGATGTCCAGGTGGGTGACATCTGACTTGTTCAGTAAAGAAGAAAGAATGTTTTACAGTTTCTGCTATTCATTATACAACTATTCATAACCCATTTTCATTTTGTGAAAAGAAAATTTTAAGAACCTAAATTGTTTCTTTTATTCTAGATTATAGATGAAAACGGCAACATCCTACCACCTGGCAAAGAAGGGGAAATCGCCCTCAGACTAAAGTCTACACGGCCCTTCTGTTTCTTCTCTGAATATGTGGTACAAAAATGCAGAATGTGCTATTTAGACTTTAATAGAAAAGGTGGTACAGGGAGTCATACAGACTTGGATCCAAATTTCATATCCACCATGTTTTGCTATGTAACTTTGGGCAAGTTACAAAACCCAAGTCTATTTTATCAACTGTAAAATGGGTAGAATATCATCTATCTCCTAAGAGTTTTGTAAAGATGAAATTCTACGTGTAAGAAGCCAGTTGCAGTGGTTGTCCTCAGAAAGGACAACCGGGCAGGCTGTGGAGTTGGGAGCGGGGCATATGGAGCACTAGAGGTGGAAGAGAGGTTTACTCTTTATTATACTCTTGGACCTCTGGTATTCTATATTAGGAACTACCTTTTTAAAGAATTAATTTCTTTTAGAAATACAATGTGTAATGTACTAGTCACTTCCTGGGATCCATACTGCTTTTTCTCTTCTGACCAAATGAATCCCCAAAGTTATCTCTGATTCCTAGGACAATCCAGAGAAAACTGCCGCCACAATAAGAGGGAATTTTTATGTCACTGGAGACAGAGGAGTGATGGACAGTGATGGGTATTTCTGGTTTGTTGGCAGAGCCGATGATGTCATCATATCCTCTGGGTTTGTACATTTTCCACTTTAAGAAAGTAACACTTTGCCAGGGGAGATCTCCTACTTGGGGAGTGTGGTGACCAAAAGCTTCTTCTCCTCTTCTAGGTACCGTATTGGGCCGTTTGAAGTGGAGAGTGCACTGATTGAACACCCAGCAGTTGTTGAATCAGCTGTTGTCAGTAGTCCAGATCCAATCAGAGGAGAGGTAGAGTGAATGTCACTAATTAAAGTAGCAATTTCATATTGTCAACTTCTATCCATTTGACCACTCTAAGGAGTGAATCAAGATTAGTCATGTAATTCTCATTATGAGGCAGACGTGGCAAAATGTACCTGGGCAATCAACTTTACAAATAAGTTGTGTCCCAAAGGGGATATATTAGGATTCTTTTGGTGGTGAGTGATAGAAACTCAACTCAAACTGATTTAAGGAAAAAAAAAGGAATTTATTGGCTCACACCTAAGAGAGGTCTTCAGATACAGCTACATCCAAGGGTTGCCGTGAAGTTAGCAAAACAGTCTCTCACCATTTCTTGGCTCTGCTGTTCTTTATGTTGGCTCCATTCAGGCAGGTTCTTCCTCCTTGATACCAGCCAACTCCACATGTACACAGGGAAGGAGACAGCTCCCTTTCCAACAGTTTCAAGTGACTCCCAGAACTGCAGTTGCCAGACAAACTAAACGTGGTCTGGGGAATGGTATATGCTGACCAGCCAGACCTGGATCACAGGCCCATCATTGGAGGTAGGAGTGAGTGGCAACCCCACCACAGAGAAGGTGGGATAATGCTCCATCAGAAAATCAGGGTACTGTTACCCAAAAAGGGGGAACAGATACTGCATAGGCAAAAGCAGCGGATATTACTGTATGTACGATTGTCATGGAACTCAGAAGACATTTTCTCACAGAAACAATGCAAACAGGAGACTGTGGCCAGGTTCCCAAACAAGTCCCATACGCCTAATTAGGACCCAGTGAAAGGGAACTCAGGGAATGACAGCAGTAGCCTTACTTGTCGGAAGAAGTCATAGAGTACGGAAGGGAGAAGTTTCCTTTCCTCATGGAAGTTTCCTATAGACTCAGAAAGCGGTGAAATTTCAGAAGCAGTTTGCCTATCAGCATCCTCCCACATCTTTCTGTAATCCCAGTTCACATACCAGTGACCCTCTGCAGTGACACTATGGATCCCATACTCACACCTCCTGTACCACCTCCTGTACCACCTCCACACTCAATGAATTCCATTCTCCAAAACATTTTTCTCCTGCCACCATATTCTCATTCTCTCATATAACTGATTTCAGCTAAACATCAGAAGTAAACACCAGTTAGAATGTATGAATAATTAATAATGTAAACTATACTTATTAACCTCAGTAATTATCTAATTGGTGGGTTTTAAACAGCATTACCAACAGAAGCAAAAAACGTCAGGCAAGAAAAACACGACAGAGGTAGAGCGACCCTTCCTGAGAGTCCATCTCCCAGCATGCACAACCCTTCCTCCATCAGGTGTCCCCAAACCCCTACCAAAACACATGTTCTCTAGAAGCACCATTTGTCCCCTTCCACACACTTCTAACAGTACAGGGCTATGGGAGTAAGTGGTCATCTGTAAATCAAGGACTGCCTGTAGAATAAACAGGGTTAGTCTGGTGGAAATGTTAAATACACGTGTGACATGTAAATCTCAACCTTCCGCTTCATTGAACCACTGCACTCCTCACACTCACAAACCATTCATCTGGAATTAGATCCCAAAATCTCACTTTACAGTGGTAGCCAAGCTTTGTTCACAGGTGATCTCCGGCATTTGCCTTCACCACTCATGCTGCTATTAACAAATAAAAAGTACCTGGGTTTAGCATTCATTCCGAAGTCTTGATATGTCTGAAAAACAACCTGTCAACATAAATTGACTCTTCTCCTGCAGGTAGTGAAAGCTTTTGTTGTCTTATCTGCACCCTTTAAATCGTCCAACCCAGAGAAATTAACTCTTGAACTTCAGGATCATGTGAAAAAATCAACTGCACCTTACAAATATCCAAGAAAGGCAAGTATTTTGCCCAAAAGTTAAAAGTGTGTTACCAGACAAGGGTCTAAGCTATTAAGTATAGAGATTTTATTAGCTTTTGACTATAGTAACTCATTATATAAGTAGAAGACACCTATTTCAACTTGTTTAGTCTTAAGAATTTTGCTTTAAGATATTTTATATCAGGACACAACAAATGCTTGATAAACTCCAAGTTTTGATCAACTGTGCAATACTGAGTAAGCAACTATTAAGGATCCTTATTGGACTAATCAGTCCCATTCCATAGGAGGAAAAATGTGGTGGCCAATCGTTTTTAGAGACAGCACCTGATTCACCTATCATAGTATTCTTGGGCCATAATACGCTTATAAATCCAAAGCACATGCCTTTAAGTATCAAGTGAGCAAATTTAAGGCTCAGGAAGAAGATACAAAGAAACTGTGGAATCTTTCCTGAAAGCATCTTCTTCAAAGAGATTTAAGAATAATTCTACGTAAAGACTCAGAGATGGCACTGTAATTTCTAGTGCTTTCCTGTTACAGTGCCTGATGCTCTCCACGAGAATTCCATTTCAATTGGCATCCATCACTGCAGCCAAAAAGCAATGAATTTCAACCTAAGAACTAGTTACATTTTCTCCATTAAATTCACTAAATCAATGACAAGTTGATTGTCAGAAATGTTGGTTTGAGGACATTTTAAAATACAGTAGTCCTATCTTGAGGGAGGGGAGCAAAGAGAATTTTACTATCTAGTCAGGGCATAGGGGAAAATTGTATATACTCTAAATTACCTCTCAAAGTCTCCCCTAGAACCTCCAGCACCCAGCCCTTAAAAACTCAAGAGCCAAGAATTAACTTGCTGTTTCTCTTTGCGTTTAGCTGTGGCCTTTATTTCCCTGGGGCAGTAGAGGCCTAGGTCCTGTTTGAACTGGGGAAAAGCAAGGGGGTAAAGAGATTATTGTATTCCTCTGGAAAACCATATAGGTGAACTTGCACGACAATCTCATGTGACAGAGCTCCACTGTCATCTTCACTGTAGAAACAGAACAGTTTCTGGTGACCAAGAAATTCAGTAAGCTCAGGCTAAGAAAAGCCCCAGACTCTGAAACTCAACATGAGTTTCAGGAAAGCTCTCTCCTATTGTACTGACGGCTGGAAAAGTCAAAATGGAATCAAGTGTCTCATAACGTTTTTCTGTTATTTAGGTGGAATTTGTTCAAGAACTCCCAAAGACAATCACTGGGAAAATCAAACGCAACGTTTTAAGAGACCATGAATGGGATCGAACATAGCCTGATTTCTTATCAGTTAAAGGGCTGCTTCTTTTAGTCCTGGCTTCCAGATAATTCAGTGACTACTCTCTCAAAGTGCTTAAGATTTTTCCTGTTGAAAAACTCAACTAAGTTTTTCTTTTGTACTTAGCCAAAAAACAAAAATCTAAAAATATTTGGGAATTGTTATGGTGACCAAACTAACAAAAGCAATGATTATAATGACTGTAATGTGTAAAATTACAAAGGTCAAATGATTACTTATAAAAGCACACTGGACAATGAATTCATCTTGTGTCTGATTAATTCCAAATAAAGATTAGAACTATCCTAAGAGAAGTGTTCAAGACAGAATTTCTTCTGCTTAACATCTTTATATATTACTAATTCTTTAAGGTGGATTAAAATATTAATGTTAAGATGAAAAATATAAACAACTCAAAAGCCAATTAGTGAATTTAATTAACTACTGTATTATTATACCTCATTTTGAAGCAATTTACTATCTCTTTAGCTTGGATTAGTTAAGAGTATTTAATTATTCAAGAGCAATTACATTTTCTCTATTTTTACTTTTTAGGACAATGTACATTTTTATTGACATAATTTGACATATAAATATCTTTGATATCCACTTACTATAAAGCAAGAGATTTACTAAAAGGCAGAGATAAAAAGTACAGAACACCAATCTTTAGAGAACAAATTTATTTTGATTTTTCTGAAAATATCAGGAAGTATGAAAAACAAGCTGAATATCTGGCCACACCAAAAGCAAAATACAAGTTAAAATAACCTTGAGAAATCACGTTTAACCTCAGAGAAACATGTTTTAAAATACCAACTTTCCCTCTCCTCCCTCCGGAGAGCAGAACAACTCTACTAAACCACTACACGGAAGCCGCACTTTTTTAACTGACAATTTTTTAAAATAAAAATTAAAAGAACAAAAAAAGCACTCGATCCCCATCCCCTCATTTATAACACGGTCAACTGTCAGTGAAAATAAACACTTGGTAAATCTGAAAACAAACCTTTCAATCAAGCAAGCATTCCAACAGAACACAGCCCTGCTGAGAGCTGGGGAAGAACAGCTTTTGTCACACTCAGATCTTACCAAACATTAATAAATACAAAAGGGGATTAAAAACAAATTAGTAAGTCAAAATCTTTCTGCAGAGTAGCTGCTGTCATAAAGTAAAAGGAGCCCAGTTTCACAGAGCTCTATGCTCTGTAAGCAGATGGCCAATCTTATTCCCTAAGTCTCACACTATCAAAATAAAAGTATCTTCGTCTTGGAGCAAGTCTGAAGGCACCAAAATCCGATCCTTCATATGACACTTACAACGCTCTTATCACCCTTTCAAGATGACTTCAACCTATTAAGAGTTAACTTTTTCCCTTAAAGATTGGCACCTGAGCTGACAACTGTTGCCAATCTTTTTTTTTCTTCTGCTTTTTCTCCCCAAATCCTTCCAGTACATAGTTGCATATTTTAATTGTGGGTCCTTCTAGCTGTGGCATGTGGGATGCTGCCTCAGCATGGCCTGATGAGCGGTGCCATGTCCGCACCCAGAATCCGAACCAGTGAAACCCTGGGCTACCGAAGCAGAGCACAGGGCCGGCCCCAAGAGTTAACTTTCTAAATATCTAAGATAGATAAAAAACTTCCAGCTTTAACTGCATTAGCAAGGCCGTTTACTCTCTTTGCCCTTCCCAAATCCTTCTAGTCTGGTTTGCCAAGCCAGAACAAGAGCTAGGATAAAAATATAGGCCCATGTTCACTAGCCATTATATAAATATAGTCACTGATGCAGGAAGACTTAACATTTATAATACCTCTGAACTTCTTAAAATTTAAGAATAAACCCATCCCCAAAAGCTAACTTCACAGCCCCTGAAGATTCTCAATCTGGACATCTTATTTTGCAGCCCTCTTGGGTGTCTGTCTCTTCTAGCTTTTTTCAGTAGTTTTACCCTGAAGGAACCCATGAAAAACGTTCAAATTAAGGGAACCCTCATGGCATGTGACTGTGAGCACTAAGTTGAAGGATACTCTATTTTTTCTTTTTGGTGCGGAATTTTTGCGCTGAGCTAAGATCTGCTGCCCATCTTCCTCATTTTTGGTTGAGGAGATAGCTTTGAGCTAACATCTCTGCCAATCTCCCTCTATTTTTTTCTATGTGGGTTGCCACCACAGCATGGCTTGACAAGCGGTACAGGTCCACACCTGGGATCCGAACCTACAAACCCATGCAGCTGAAGCAGAGTGCACAGAACTTTAACCACTTGGCCACCAGGGCCAGCCTCCTGAAGGATATTCTTGTTTCACAGAAATCCAGAACTGTCAGACTAGGACTCAGAGTTCCTTCTCTTCTCTCAAAGACAAAATCTCACGCTGAGAAGATTTAGAGAAAGGGTTCTTACACAGTCACACACCAGTGTTGGGAAAAGGAGGGGAAATGCTATTTAATTTGGTTTTGCAGCTCTTCAAGTTTTACTAAGGCTTGAGGCTTGTTGCTATCATTCTTCATCTCAAGCCCAAGTGGCTGTGGAAACATTTCAAGAGTTCCTCTGGCAACGTGATTGTTCCAAAGACTCAGCTTCTTTTTCATCTAAGAATTTTGTCACTTTTAAGAAAAAACATTTTCTCCATGACCTTGCAGAATCTTGTCCATACAATGAAATATATCTGCTAAATAGACTAGTTTCTGTAGCCATTCTTCATCTGCAAAGCATTCAGCAAAGTGTGGCCTAGTGCTTTCTTGTAAGGACTCTGGGATATATCCTGTTGAGAACACTTCCTCTGGTAAACTACTGGATTTCTGTATGGAGGAGAGTCAGGGGCTCTTCATGCAGGTTTTAGTTTTTGGTTTTTTTAGAACATTCTTACATAAATGGGTCTTTAATAAAGTTAACCATTTTTGTAGCATTATTCAGAACTTTCTTCATTTCGTCTCCAAGTTTTTTATATTAGCATCTCTCTGTGAAGAAAGCAGCATGCTGTAACGTCAACAGTAGGATTTCCTTTTATTAAAATGAGGCAAAACTTGTCATGGAATGAAGCACTAATGGGTCACCAGGAGTATAGATGACAAATCTTTGGTTTTCAAATATGGAGACTCATTAAATTTATATTGGCCTTTATTTCGGGGACAGTCCTAGCAGCAGAAAAAGTTTTCCTAACTTTCAGCACCATTTACAAATTTTACAAATGCTACAGCATGATAAATATTTGTGAAACCTGTTGACTCATCAACCCAGATAAAGAAGCTGCTGCTTTTCAGTTAACTACACAAAACCTCTCCAGCATCATGTGACGTAAGCCAATTTATTAAACTGAGAATAAAGTCTCTTCAATTTCTTGTACTGTTTCTTGCCCCAGCATTTTAATGTTAGTATTATTAGATTCTTACCAACTAGGTGATTTTTCTTTTCTGGAATAAGTTCTGCTACTAAATAATTTGCTTCCTAAACCTTTTCACTGGATATGATTTTTTGAACAAAAGCTTTACTGTTTTGATATTCTAAAGCCATTTAAAAGAATCAACACCTTTACTTATCAAATGGCTATGATTACAACTATGTTACAACTGCTGGAGCAAATGCTAGATTTGTACGTTGCATTCCACAGATGATGTGCAATGGAATAGGACAGCCTGGATTACGAGTCTATATAACCATAGGGAAGTAGCTTTCATTGTAAACAAAGAATTTCTTTGTGTCCTTTGTAGCACTACTATACCATAGTAACTCAGAATACTGTAATTCTTCATCATTAACCTTATCAGAAATATCTGTGGTTCTATACCTAGAATGGTTCTCTTCTATACCACACTTTGCCTTCAAAAACTGCAGCAGTGGACTGTCAGATCTGTTTGTAGCAAACAAATGTTGACAAAATATAAAAATAGGCATAACAACTAAACAAGAAAATCGCAAAACGTACAAAAACCTCACAAAACAATTCACTTTAACCTATATGACCAATGTTTTTGCAAGTTTACAACAAAGTGGCAGAGGACAGCTGAGTTACAGCACACAAAAATTCTTTCCTTAGAATGAAAATTTCCCTCTGGGTTTATCTTTCACAAAGCTTGTTCACGCCCATTAAGTCAGTTGGCAGTGCAGAAGGGGAGGCGGGAGAAGACAATCATGAGGGACAAGCCATTGTCATCCTCCTACCACTCTCCCCTCCATGCAAGTGTTCACCTATTATCCACAGCTTCTCCTAGCTCACCGAAATGCATGTGGGCTGACTGCACGCAGTCACACCGGGCAGAAAAGATCTCTAACAAAACTGTTAACAGGGCTGCTCAATCACTGTTCACTACTGTGAGCACAGCATTATGCAGCACACACAGCTCAAAAATGATATTTTCAGTCACAATCTTATATGGAACCCCAGGAACATCTCACAGAACCCCAGTTGAGAAACCCACCTCCAATACCTAATGATGCTTTTTCACGAGAGGCCATTTTCACTTGACTCAGATCCTTCTGTGACTTGACTTCCAAGTTCAGGCTTAGCTCCGCCCTCATTCACCACCTCAGTCTCAGATATTGGTTTTGTCTGCTCTGGCTCCTCCCTATTCTCTGGTACTACCTGTGGGTTATTTGTTCCTTCTGCAGAGTCATTTTGATGTGATTTGTCACCAGATTCCAATTTAGCTCCATTTCCTGCTTGTGCTGTCTGCTTTGAGTTAAGCTGTGATGGGTCCTTAGCACTCTTCACCACCTCTTGGAGATTATATTTTCTGAACAACATATAATCTTTCACAACACTCAGGCAACAGACAGCTTTAATGATTTCTACTACCACTGTGTACTGTGGATTGGTAAGATCCACTTTGTTTTCTGTATTTAGGCTGCCTACTATTCCTGTAACAAAAAGAACAGGGAAACACAGTCTGAGAAGGATATATGAAGCTTGACGGATACAAAACAATCTTTCGTCTGTTTGGGACTTGCTAAAGCAATATATATACTAGTTCATTCACAGTATATATACTAATCCACGACATGGACCTCAATCAAAGTCCCTGAACTTTTTCTTTTTTTGCTGAGGAAGATTTGCCCTGAGCTAACATCTGTGCCAAACTTCCTCTACTGTACATGGGTCACCGCCTTAGCATGGCTGACGAGAAGTGGTATATGTCGGTGCCCAGGATCTGAACCCCAACTGCCGAAGCGGAGAGCACCAAACTTAACAACTAGGCTACAGGGCTGGACCCCCTGAACTTTTTAAATAAATAAATACAAATTAACTCCTGAGACATTAAGAGTAATACTCTTATTAAGAGAATTTTTTTTCCCAAAGAAAATTCAATCTTGATTTGGAAAAGACTTCTTATCTAACTATCAGAAAATCTCATATCCAACATATTGAAATCAGTTAGGTTGGATATTATTTTGCGGACATTTTAATATACTTGTTCTACACTCAAAAAGTAACCCATAAATTTTTTTAAAAATTCTTAAAAATAAAAACAAATACTTAACATTGCACATCAATGTAAAATCACTAAGAGAAACATACCTGCCAATTCTTTGATAACTTCCTCTCTATTCAAGTGACTGTTATTCCGAGATTTGTAAACTATCTGAAATGTCCCTTTGTTTGGAGCTTTAAACCAGGGTTCCAAAAATGTTTCTGCATATTTCTTCATATCTTCTAAGAAAGCCTTGCATGTGCCTGAGATGGGTAACATTCGTAGAATAACCCGAGTCTTCTTCTTCTTGGTTTTGTACATATCCTGGAGAATATGATGTACCAACTTCTCAGGTTCTAAAATGAAAAATCAGCACAGAGCAAACAAGTAAGACTGTCAGCTCTCAGACATTTTAAAAACCCTTCAAACTTTCTAAAATGAATTCTCATTGGCAGTAACAAAAATTGACAGAGTAGAAGGAATTATCATAAAGAATTAACCACTTCTTCCACCTAATACTTCTTCAGTGCCTACTATGTATTAACACTTTATCTAATATTTGAACTCTTCAGCATTATTACTGCTTTCACTAAAAACAACTGTTCATGAAAACATTGGAATTAACATTCTTGTGATGTCTGATTTATCCAACGACACTACTGTACCGTTGTTTTTCTATAACAATAGCAACTATCAGTAACAAACATTAAATAGTACTTTTACAAAAACAAAACAAAAATCTTCAAGTCACTTCAAAAGATTAATCCATTAGCTAGGTTTGTACAGAAGTCTAGATCCCAGATCATAGAGGAGCTCCAGAACTACAAATTGCACAAGATCACGAGACAGTCCTTAGGCCGCATCCTGACTACATACAAGTCTATTTTGCGCTGCTCAGTGTTTTCAATACTTTTAAATTAGTTAACCATATTGGAAAGTCTAGAAACTTCTCCAGACTTCCAACTTCTTTTGAAAAACCAGGAGATTTGGCCCTACCAGAACTACATTCCCAAATGGCTAGAGCCATTCCAAATCAGCTGGAGTTGAGTAGCAGCTGCTCCTTTTACACAGAACATATACTTCTGTTTTGCCTAAAGTTACATAAGGCTAACGCAGTCTAGAGAGCATGCAATCAAATGATTATTTGGGCCACAACCATGAAGCCATTTTGTAGGCAGTGTTCTGTGAAATAGGGAGATATCCAAATATTATAGGACCAATAATCTTACGGCATATTAGTCAGACACACCTATCCCAAGTGTCCTGATGAAGACTACATTATTTGCTCCACTCTCCACTGACTGGAATCTTCTTAGCCTCATCTCTGTAGATGCCTTAATGTCACCAACTTCTTTCTTCAAAGCAGCCTCCACATCATCTTCTCCCTCACTTCCAGAGGGCTGTTGATCCTTATCTGTAAACTGTTTGCATAAAACCAATAAGCAGAAATGCCACAACAGCTCATGTTAAAAGCTATAATTAACTACCCATGTGAAACCCTCAATGATGGATGGCTCAATAGTGACAATAAAGTTTTTTATTAAGAGACTGAGATATCGCTCCCTCCAAAATGCAGAGTTAAAAGGGAGTTCCCTCAGACTACGGTACACATAATTTTTAAATGTTTTCAAAGGCATCTTGAGAGTCTGGGACAGGGGGCAATGTGCAGCTGATGAATCATTTCAGATCAGATGAATCATTTCAGGGGGAACCTTAATCCCATCACTAGATATCTTTGTGCCTGCAATGACACTCTCCTTTTTGTGAGATTAAACCACACAGCTTTGGAATTGAAAACCCTTACTCCTGTTCTACTGAGGAACAGGGAAGAGAAATACTTCAAGAACTTGCTCTAGGTATCAGCGTATAAAGGACATGCACTTGTTGCCCAGTTCTCTGCCTCACCAATGGAGTTGCCAATCGGGCACTAAAATAACTGTACACATTTATGCAGCCTTTATTATATACCAGGATGTTATTTTATGCACATAAGCAACCTTTTAGCTACCCTTAACAAGTACTATCACTCTCTTTTTTATCTAGCTCAGCAGAATTAGATACGGTGCCCATGCCGAAGTCCCAGAGCTAGTAAACGATAGTACCCGAATTCAAATCCCCTCTGCACTATCCTTCAGCATTTAATTCCTGGGGTGTTCGTGATCAGATCCTAAGCCAAGAACATAATGATTTCCAAACTGTGATGGGACAATTAGATTTTAGGTGGTAAAAGCACAAAAGTTTTTACTTTTTAAATGGTACGTGCATTTGAGACATAACTAGCACTAATACTAAACCCACTATTTCCGAGGCACTACTTAGGACCCACACATTATCACAGCCACGGTGTTCAGATGGTGGTAAGACATGGAAAAAACCAAGAGAAGGAATGAAGTTTAGCCCCGTGAACTTGGACCACCTACTAAACCTACTCGAGCCTCGGTGTCCTCGGGAACGCAACTTCACAAGGATACCGGAAGGAGTACATGTTTTTCGAAGAGCTTCAGAAACACAACGCCTGGGCCGGAGAGAACAATCTATAAATGGAAGCCACTGCGATGAACGATGAGGAGAAAAGCCCCAGGGGCAAGAATTTCCCAGCGCGAGGGGCCGGGAACGCCGGCGAGGCCACGCCCCTTCGCCGCCACGCTCCCGAGAAAACTCGCGCATGCGTGTAGAGGCAGCAGGCCTTCCAGCCTACCCTCCTTCTTCAAAGCCCGAGCGGCCGGCCGCCCTCCCCAAGCCTGTACCTTTTCCGGTCCATACATGTCTTCTCCGTATTCGTTGAGCAGACTGTAGGCCTCCTCCACGCATCTGCGCTCGTTCATGTTGCAGGTAATGAGAATGCCCTGTAGCCCGGGTTCCAGCTGCCGCGGCCCGCCGCCATCGCAGCGCCGAGCCCGCTTGGCCGGCACGTAATGAGCCTTGCCTTTGCGCTTCCCGCTGCCAGACTGAGGAGGCTGCTGGACGGGGGTCGCCATGGTGCACGAGAGCTGAGGTTCGCGAGAAACGCCTTCCTCTGTGGTTCTCGGCGTCTTCACCTTTGCTGGCGCGGGCTGGTGACGTCAGACATGTGTGACGGCCTTCCTGATCCCGCCTCCCAGCTTCCTTCCTTGCTGCTAGTCCTAGGGCCGGTCAGTGGCTGGCTCTGGAGAGGGGACTCGAGGCCCACTCCTGTCCCGCCCCTCGCCAGGATTGACAGGCACTTCTTTCACCTCACCACCGGAAGGAGGGGTTTCCCTGGAAAGTGGCCTGAGGAGGGAGGAGGCCTGAGAGCTAACATGCGGGTCTCCCAGTGGATGTAGACCGCGCTTGCGAAGAACAGTGTCATTTACTCATTCAAATTCGTTGATTCATTCAATTAATATTTATTAAGCACCTTTGTGCTAATTATTGTCCTACGTACGGAGGTTGAGACTATTAGCAAAGCGAGACACACTTCGTACTCACGTTGCCCTTGGAGGCAAATGTTTCTTAGAAGTCACTGAGGCCTTCCAAAGCATCCTACTTATTCTTGCTCCGATTGAAATGTGCACATTCGCTAAACATTCCTTTAGTATTCCTCTTGCAGGACTTCAAAGGTACAAAGAAAAACAGGACACGAAGTAGAAGGATCTCATTGATGTGAGAGACTTGACATATTTATTGTATCAGGATGAGAAATATAAAATACAGGGAAACTGGGCTAAACTTCTTAACATTAAGTTGTCACCACGGGGACATTTTAACTTGTAAAATGTATTTGTATTAATACCAAAAATATTGTCTGTATCAATGTCTTCACACACTTTTATTTGACATTGGTGTCATAACACGTGGTAGTGACATTTTGGCGAATTATTGTTCTAAGTGCACTTGGTTTGGACGGGAAGTCAAATTCCTCACTTCTGAACAAAATCATGAAGAGCCAAAACAGGGTTTGTCCTTTGTTGCCCTAGGAAGGATTACCTAGTCCAGCAACCCCAAAACGTAGAATGGATGGTAGTAGGAAGTCACGAATAAAGAACTTCTTATTTATTGTGAGGCCTGCATGTCTCAGATTCCCATTCTTGTGACTCCCATGAAAAAGTAATGCTGATATGAAGTGATAGTCTAGAACTCCATATACATCTCAAAGAATTTTCACTAACAATAAGGGAAAATATTCCTCTTTTCTCCAATGAAGTATATCTTACCATTTTCTTTTCTTCATACCTGTTCCTGAAATGTTTAAGAACATTGGTCTGAATAGGTAAGCAATCCCCTTACAGTTAACACCATAATATTCCCCATACCCTAAAGTCAGGAATCCAGCTCCTTATACTTCGTGCACTTAGAAGTCAACTTGAACTTTATAAATCCCTCGTGTTGGGGTTGCATCTCTGACAGTGTACTGCTCTTGGTGAGCAAATGCAGGAATATTGTGCATTTTACTGACTTAGGTATTTCAATCTCACACTCTGAGATTTAATTATTATGTATGAAGGAACAAAATATTGAGAGGAAAAGTAATTAGTGTGATGCTGAGCTTCATGGTTAACTTGTTTTTTTCTTCATTATATGTGTAACGTAAAAAATATATATATAAATGTGTGTTTTTTGCATAACTTTCTCTTCCTTTAGGTTCTTTTGCTTACATTACTAGTATTAAGACTGGAGTTCCTGATAGTAAGACGTTAACTGTCCTGTTCCACACTGCAGAGTGAGAGAAATGGAAAACATTCATCTCCCTTTCAGAGTTTCCCTTCCGGCCAACTATGGAAGTGATTTCATAACAAATGGGACACTTCAGGAAGTGTTTTCCAATATGTCTTTATTTAATACCATTATTCTAGGGGATGAAGGAAGAGAAATAACCAGATTATTTGAAAAAACCTACAACTTCACTTGACTGTTTCTAAATGCTTTCAGTAGTGGTAGGAGCTAGGCTGGAAATTGGCATTTCTTTATGTACTTCCAGGTAATTTAAAGGTTATGGTATTCTTTGTCTTCTTGTAATGCTGCTGGCTTGCTTACATGTGGCTTTGTTTTCCTTGTTGACTGTGTGATTTGGAGGAAATTGACTGTAGGATTGTGAAGAGATTTGGATTCAGGAAGCTCTCTTTGTCTTCCAGACCCTGAAGGCTCTCCCAGAGTTTTTACAAGTATCTATGTTCACTTCCTTTCCAACATATAATATTATTACCATTATTTGTTTTGTTTGTTACCATTATTATTTTATTTGGTATTCTATTGCCAATTTCATTTTTAATTAATGAATTCGTCATTGCTGCATATTGGTCATCTGTATTTATTTCTCAGTAAGTTATTTATTCATACCCTTTGCCAGTTGATTAGTGGGGTTTTTGGAGCTCCTTTTTTAGCATTGATATTAATCATCTGTCTATTTTACGTGTTGCTAATATTTTTTTCTGAGTCTGACTCATCTTTTAACTGTGTTTCTAGTATTGTTGCTAAGCGGAATAGTGTATTTCCTGAGTCTTTGCACATTAGTGTAAATATTTTGTTCTTTTTGCCTTCACTCATGGATGAGAGATTGTCTGGCTATAGAATGCTTATCTGACTCAATTTTGCCCCTCATCTCTGTCCACACACATTGCTCCATTGTCTTCTAGAATTGCAGATGAGCAGTCTAATGCCATTATGACCTTTTTTTCTCTTTCTTCCTAGGTGCCTAGAAAGTTTATTTATTCCTTAAATTCAAAAACTTTCTCAATATGTGTTACAGTAATATTTTTTCTCACTAATTTTGCCTTGTGCATGCTGTGTTCCTTTTGATGATTGGGGCCCTCTTTGAATTCTGGAAAGTTTTTTCTGAGATGTCTTTAAATACTGTTTTTCCCATTTGCTCTATTCTCTCCATCAACCATGCCAATCATTCTCATATTGAAAATCTCTACCACCTCTGGAATCTTCTCACTCATTATTTTATCTCTTTTCCATTATCTCCTTCTTTCTGAAAGAGTTTCTCAAGAATGGCTTCAACATTATTGATTTAATTTCCAGTAGCATAAATTCTGATCTTGATTATTTCTAAGCTGCATTTAATCTCAAGGGAAATTTTATTCTTTTCAAAATATTTCCTCTTTATCTATCTCTATCGTGCCAGCCTCTTCCATTACAGCTCAATTTCTCAACTTATCATGTAATTTTTCATTTCTTGTTTCATAGGGCAGTTTCCTGAATTTTGTTGCAAACACAAACACAAGAGAAGCTTTCTAAAGTATACTTCTGTTTCTTCTAATAGAACTCTTTCAAAGACTCTTCTGACTCTTAAGCTTAACATTTCTGTCTTTAGGCTGTACAATCTTGAAAAACAAAAGACTAAGACATATGGCTGAGATATGTTATTCCCACTTCTGCTTATTCATCAAGGAGCCAGAAATGTACAGCCTTTTCCTATTTCTTATATGTAGTTTTTCCTCAGTTCCCCTGAGTTCCCATCAGGTTGCTGTGTAATCTATTCCTTCTTCCTGCTCTGAAGTTGGAGAACTGTGTGATATGCACAGCCATTAGCCAAATTTCCAGTTTAAAATAGCCGATTATCATTAAACTTTCTAGTTTAAAAAGTCACTTATTATTTAAAATAATAACCTGATCTTTAAGAAGCAATATCATGATACTACTACCCTATTGTCTTTCTACAATATTTAAAACCTATTCCTGGATGGGCTAATTCTGTCTTAATGACTAAAAACCTACAACTTGACCATGGCCACTCTATAGCTCCCTTCCTTCCAAATGTAGATTTCAGCTCACAACTGATGCTGGATGAGGGTTTTAAAAGACTCTGAAGACTCTAGTAAATAGTTTCCATACTGAGAGAGATTTGAATTCCTTTACTCAGATAAAAAAAAGTCTAAGCCTGTGAGATTTCTTGAAATATTTTTCAATAAATGGTTCCACCATTCTACCTGCAGGCTTTAAAGGTTTAACTCATGGAAGTTCTTCCAGTTTTCTAGTAGGTAATGGTGGAATATTCCTGGTTCCTAGTGCTATTGAAATTCTGCATCTCCTCTTGAGTTTTTACATCTAGGTGAGTCTGGGGAATGGCTGATCAGAAGGCACCAGCTTTCTATTCTCATGACTCTGAGTTAAGTAGGTTGTGATTATGTCGCTCTGCTGCATGAAATCCTCCAAGGGTGCCCAACTGTATATAGTGTCAGGTAGAAAAGCCTCTCAGAATAGCATGTGAGCTCTTTCCAATCTGGCACCATCCTATCTTTTCAGATTCATGTGTATTCACTTCCTGCCATAGATCTCAAACTCTCACCACACTGGACTGTTGATCTCTTTCTCCAAACCTGTCAGGAAACTTCAGACCTTTCTATTTCTGCTCATATACTCTTCCTTCTGCCTGAAATGCCTTGCATTGCAGTGGGAATTCATATTTATTCTTCACAGTGGAACAGAAATAGCATCTCCTTTTTGCAGTATTCCCAGATGATCAAGCAAAATTCATGACACCATTCTCTGTGGATCCATTGCTGTGGTCTAAATGTTGTGTCTCTCCAAAATTCCTATGTTACATCCTAAGGCCCAATGGGATGGTATTAGAACGTGGGGCCTTTGGGAGGTGATTAGGTCATGAGGGCAGAGCCCTCCAGAATGGGATTAGTGCCCATATAAAAGGGGCTTCAGAGACCCAACTAGCATTTGTCTCAGGGAAATTATCTTCTAGGAGATCACTGAATTTTCCCTCCCTTTTATTACCTCTGTTCTCTGCCTCCAGAACCCCAATAAGAGAAAGGGCAGACATCTGTGCTGCTTCACATTTCTCTCCTACATGCCATCATTCTGCCTTTGGCTCTGGTCTGCAAGATTCCATTGACTTTATCACCAGATCACTGACATGTTGTTAACCATCCCCATTCTCTTAGTCAGTCTGTCCACTGAGTTTTGTTAGTGTCAAACATATTTTTAATTCCCAGGCACTCATTTTTGTCCTCTGATTGCTCCTTTTTTGCAGCAGCAGTCTGTTCTTACTTCTGTATGTGCCATTTTCCAATCTCACTAGAGTCATTTATTTTTTTAAATTGTTTTGTTTCTTGAATGATCTTTATTTCCTAAAAACGCAATTATTTTACTTGTTAATCTTAACGTGACTCATGTATGTGATTTCTTTTCTTCACGTTTGTGGACCCTTGGCTGTTAGTTCATGTTTGTGAATAAAGATCTAGGCTGTTGAGTAGTGGGAGTTCCATTTGGATTTGCGTAGATCGCTTTGCCAAGAAACTTCTCCCTGGATGAGCCTCTCCTGGTGGGTCTGGTGTCATAACTGGAAAATGAGATTTCAGAGTTGTGGGGGTTGGCCGGCTGTGGAGAGCAAGTCAAAAAAGGGAGGACTTGACTTGAACAGTGAATTATTTTGATGTGTTCCTTCTTGAGAAAAGCTGTGTCACCTCTCCTTTCTCATTAAGGTGCCTGCTGGATGTTCCAGAGTTTCCTCAGACTCTGCTTTGCTTCCCATTCATGGTCCTACACTCAAATGAGGAGGCATCTGCATGTAAGCAGGTCACTTTCTTTAGCGTGCACAGCTTGGATTTCTATGTGGGGGCCAAAAGCCTCTGTTGTCTGCTGTATATATTTGGGAGGAAGGCAGGGAAGAGAGATGGGGTCCAACTAGTCCAGCCTTCCCAGATCCAGTCTTTTAAATCAAATATATTCAGCATAGGTATATCTATATATTGAGCAGTATGATAAGAGTGCAAAAATGGCTGCAAATTTTGTCTATCCTGTATCCATGCCCCTTTGCAATGTGACTTTGGAGCTCCTCCTAGCAAGAGGTGGAGTCTGTTTCTCCATCCCCTTGAATCTGGCCTTGGCCCTGTGGCTTACTTTGTTTAATGGGACTCTAGAAAAGTGACCTGAAAGAGAGACTTGAAAACCACTTGCACACTGGGCATGCTGTCTCTTGCTCCCCTTGTAAAGAAGATAGGTAAAAGGCCAGAAAGTTAAAACCACATTTTTTTCGCATATGCATTCTGAGCTATCAAAAGTAACAGTTCTATGAAGAAGACCAAGAGGATGACAAGAGGCATGTGGCCTATTTGCTTCTGTTGCTCTGACCAACAGCCTGCTAGACACGTAACATGTGACAAAGACTTCCCTAGATTATCTAACCAGCAGCCAACCTACAGCTGACCATGGATGCTTCACAGAGCCCAGCAGAGATGAGCTGAGTTCACACAGATAAGAACTGCCTAGCTGATCCAAATTATGGACAAAATAAAGAGTTGTTGTTTGAGGCCACTATGTTTTGGGGTCGTTTATTGCCCAGCAAAAGCTAACTGATATAAATACCAGTTGTACTAATGTTCCAGGTTCTGAAGATACTCTGATAAACAAAGTAGATAAGACCTCTGTCCTCAGGTGAGGAGAAACAAAGAAATAAATGAGTCAGACAACTTCAGAGATTCACACATGCTCTGAAGGAAAGGAAGCAGGGTGATGTGACTGGCTGGGGTTGGGATCTAATTTAGATACTGTGACCAGAGAAGAATGCTTTGAGCAGCTGAAGTTTGAGCCAAGACCTGAATGACAAGGAAGAGCCAACCATGTGAAAGTCTAGAGGTAGATTGTTCCAGACAGGAAATAGCAAGTGCACAGACAGTGAGCTGGGGAGATACTTCACGTGTTAAAAGGACATAAAGAAGGTCAATGAAGCTGGAGTTGGTGAGCAAAGGAGAGAGAGGGGAAAGATGTACAGTCAGGAAACAGACCTTGGGGGAGGACTTGGCCTGTGATTCATTTACCAGTTACTTTCATGCTTGTACCCTGTCTCATCTCTGTCCTGTATGTTTGTGGACTAGGAGCTTGGAGCTCTCAAAGGACCCCTGTGGGAAGGGTCCCTCTTTTCCCCAGCATTTTGGGCTACATCTTTCTGTGATCTGTTTTCATCAGTCAGATCCATCTGCTTTCTGTCTTCTCGGATTTCTTCAAGATGTCCTCCAGCTGACTGCCGTTCTAGTTTTCCAGGATTACTATGGATTCATTCTTTTTAAAATACAGGGGTGTTTTTTGGGGCATTTTTAAGGACCTTGGTATATATCAGTCCCCATATCACCATCTTTAATTGAAATTCTCATATCTCATGTTTAAATTTGGAGCTCTAAGCCCATCTTAACCTCCTATCCTCCTTTGTTATCCTATATTTTTCTCTGTTTCTTCTCTTTTCAGCTTGTCTTTACAGTGGCGGGTGAGAGCCGAGCCCTCAATGGGCTCTTTATTCACTATCCAATAAATATGTCCTGAGAAGCTTTTATCTGCAAACAAAATGGAGGCCCTTCTCTCCTACCAGTTGCCCTTTGCAGCCACTTGCCTTGCTCGGTTCCTGCTGAGTTGAATACGCTCATCCAAACACCCCCTGCTGGGACATTGAGGGGACACAGGGTCAGTTCTTCCCAGTGCCTTCCACTTCACTAGACACTTCAGGTGTTTCATTTCCTAGGGAGGTTTTGATGTCTCAGAATTCATATGCCAGAAAACTGTATTTGAACTCCCTGGTCTTCCATCTATCTGTCTGTCTGTGTTCTATCTTCATTGAGTTTTGGGTGCCACAAATCATTAGGAGATGGCACATAGGATGTCATACCTGGGAGGGATGGTCCATGTTACCCTTCTGAGAACGGGAGACACTACACCCTTGCAGACCAAGAGCGTGGCCTTCCTGGACATTTGTAAAGTTTCCAGGCAAGGAATCTTCACTTATCTCCCTAAAACAGATAAATATACTTTTGTACAGAGATTAGAGCACGTGAAAGGTGAGACTAGCAACTTCAGGGCCCAGTGCTTACTCATAATATTTTCTTCCACAAATCTGTTGGGTCCTTTGCAGAAACCCAAAGTACAAAACTCTCTGCCTGCCCTGCATTTGCCTTACAGGAATACCACTACACACTTCCCTCCAACCCAGAATCAGAGGCCAGAGCACCTTGAATGAAGAGGAAAGGAGGTCCATATTGTCTTCTCTACCCCAGGGCCATTGCATGTGCTGTTCCCTTGACTATTCTCCCTGCTTTTCCTCTAAGTCTCTGACTTATCTTGGCTCTTACTTATCTTTCTGGACTCAGCTTATAAGCTGCTTGCTCAGAGAGGCCTTCTCTGCTTTTCTGATCTTCCCTTGCTTCCCCAAGTGTAGTGGATGCTGCTGTGCCCTGCCCGGGTCCCCTTCACTGGTGGCACACTCTTCCCTCAGTTGCTGTGAGTATTCATTGCTCAAATGGAGCTGCCTTGCCTGGGAGGTTACTCCTGGCCACAGGGGACAGTCAGTGGCCAATGATTGACTGGGGCACAAAAAGCCGGAAGCCTGGCCTCAAGGTGGACCAGAGCCTTCTGGGATACAAGGGAGAAGTTAGTCTCCAGCTGAGACCGCCCCTTTGCTTAGTTTTCTTGTCCTGTCTGCTGCTTCCCTCACACTGCACCCCCTCCAGAGAGCCCTCCTCCAATGAATCCTTTTCACCAGAATCACCGTCTCAGGCCCTGCTTCTCGGAAGCCTGACCTAAGACACTGAGAAAGCTTTCTTTAAGAGGTTTGTCTGTGTATTTACACAGCGAGGACAAGTTTTCTCTCTGACCCCTGCGCCTCTAACAGTGATGGAGAGTCACATGAATGGACTCAGATGTGAATAGTCCCCCTGGAACTGGCCACACAGCAGCCCCCCGTCTGAGGCTCCTGAAGAGCTTCTCTAGGAGGTGGAAGGGGAAGAAGAAAAAGAGACACTGCACACAAGCAGTTCACCGGGAGGCTGTGCTGTCATTTCTGAAGCAGAGCTCTTTGTCTGACCTGCTAAAAAGGGCTACTTTTTTAGAAGCTTTAGTAAAATCATTTAATCTAAAATTCAATATAAATGCCACTCAGTGTTAATTTTTAAGAACCAACTAGTCAGTCCCGTATCTGTTCTTTCCCTGAAGTGAAGCAAATTTGGTTAAGGATGGGTGTTTTTGAGTTTATTTCCCACACAGTTGAAAGCTCAATGCCATGATTAAGTCTCTTCTCCCAAATGTAACCCCTTGGGAGCCACAGCAATAGCACAAACTAATGAAACAGGAGGAATTCATGTTTGAAGAGCCAGAGCCTCTGGAGACATGGACTAATGGCCTGAGCCCCACAGGGTGGTTTGGAATTGAGTTCCTATGCAAATGTTTTTAAACACCACTTACACTTCAATACTTAAAATTTAGATTATATGAAGGTGACTCTTGAGATTTAACAATTGTGACATTTTCTTGAGGCATGAACTCAACTCACACATCCTACAAAGTTGGCAGATGGTGAGTGAACGAGGTGACCACTGAGCATCTACTTGGCACATGTGCAGTAACTCACATGAAGGGATTTACATCTTTCCAACTGTGAATGTTGCTAACAGAAGGGCAGAGGTGGGGCAAAGAAATGGCAGGTGTTTGAGGGTCTGTAGGACCAAAGCTCTCACAGCTGTCGCGTGATCACTATAGTCCCTCCATGTCAGCCACCACGATGGCTGCTTTAGAATCTGATTTTCCAGATGCACAATTAAGGATACAGAGGCACTGGTGTGCTGTCTTAGGAAGAAGATGGAGCTTGGGTGTCTGTTAAATTGGAATTTGAAGGTGGTCAGGGTGGCCTTCCCCTCTCTGATTTTCCCAGCTTCTCGCACCCGCAGTTGAAGAAGCCGTGTCCTGATAGTCTCAGGCAGACTAGTTCCGCCGATTCCTTATTCCCAGTGCAGGTTTGCTTTTCTCTCTGCATCTTTCTTTTCTGTTTATGACACCACCATCTTAGTTGCTGAAGTTTCCAACCTTGACCGTTGGACCCTGTACCTTTTTCCTTCTTACGTCTTCTCCTGTCATCAACCTCAGGGCCACCTCCACCCCTTATCTTCTGGCTGTCATTCCTTGGGCTCCTCATGGGATGTGACCATCGCTTCCATCCACTTGAGTCCTTCATGGGCCTGGCCTCGCCTTGGACCTTTGGGTGACTCTGAGTCTCTCCTCCTCCAAGAGCATCATTATGGGGACCCATTGGGAAAATCCTCTACTTTGGCTCTGCTCCCAGGGTCTCTTCCTACAGCAGAGCGTGCTGTCTTTTCCCTATCACAGGAAGCATGTGAGATTAACTGTTTTGACTCTTTTCTCTTGTTTTAAAGAAAGCAACACCAAGATGTGTGTTTCCTCCCAGAAAGGCTAGAGATAGGCAATAAGGAAGGGGAAAATGTGTTTGCAAATCTGTAGCTTAAAGCTTCAGGTATTTAAAAATCATTCTTGTTTGTCTTTTATATTCCTACAAAGTGCATAGAGAGTCTTATCCATCAGTATTCCAGACAAGATCAAAGAAGCCTGTGTTCAGATAGGACCATTAAAGAGGAGGGGCCCCTCTCTCCCTGCTGCCCCTGAACAAAGGCTCCCGTGAAAGCTAGGACAGTCGCTCTGACACCTGCCCCATCACCAGATCAACCTCAGGAGCTCTGGGCCCAGGGGTGTCCTGACTGGAGCCAGAACACAGGAATAGGGGAGGTTCTAAGACCTGAATAGTACTTGGCATTGGATTTGATAGACACTGCAGGGACTGAAAAACCCATTAGCCAGTTTTCTTCTTTTACTATCTCATAGTTTGTATTTCATTTCCATCAAATGGCATGAAAGCATGTTATTGGCCAGCGAGAGGATGAAACCCTGATGTGGACCTACCCTAAACCTAGTGTGAATTCTGAAATCCCCGCGACTGATCACAGTGACTTCTCCTTCCACGTCTTCAGCTCTGTTTTCCCCTGGAACCTGTTGTCTGTCTAGCTCAGGATCTCCGTGCTCACACCTCTCTGGCCTTGCTTGTTTCAGCCCAAGGTTAGCCACTTTGCTGGTTCTCATGAGCATCCCTGATGCCCTTGCCTCCGTGAACTTCCATGACCCCTGGCTTCCCATCCTCAGCCATGCCACTCATTACCCCCTTCAATATCTAGAATGTCAGGCCGCACCGAATAAAATCACAAGAGTTATTTGCTCTTTATCTAGTTGGCCCTTTGATGGTTCTAACGTCCTCAGTCCTTCACTGGTTGACCACAACATATGCTTAACGTACTCCAAACCTGTTCCACTCTGATCAAGGTGCGTATTCCATCCCCACTGCCAAACTTGGCAAAATCATATTTTGTGGGGACCAAGTCCCTCCAGTGTGAATTTCCTCAAAATCTCTCTTATCTACATCAAATTCATTTTTGTATTTGCCTCTCTCGTGTTTTTCTTCTTTCCTCCAATAAAGAAATTTCCCTTGGTATTATCTAATCAAGTTGAAAATGTACATGGTCCCTGACTCAGTATTTTTTTCTGTCTCTTCATCTCCCTGCTTATTTTCCTGTTAACTTATTCTACTTATTTTTTTTAGAAGGTCTCTTTAGTTATTAGGAGGATGAGGCTGTAGAGAGAGCCATGCTAATTATGTGTGTCCCTTTCCTCCAGAATCTCAGCCTCCTCCAAAATAGACACAGTGGTCAGACACTGTCGTCGTGGAGCTCAGAGGTCAGTGGGGAAGATGGAGTATGAATAAAGTGTTACAATGCAACGTAAGTGCTATAACGGATGTCCACTCCAGGTACAGGTGTGGCACAGAGCAGCGGATGAACTCAGTGGGGGTGGAGGCAGGAAAGTGTTACAGTCAAGGAACAGCTGAGCTGGATCTTAAAGCATTATTAGTTCAGTAGACAAGGTGGGGAGGAAGCCATTAAATATTTGTTAGATTAGCAAACGAAGGGCACATCCCACAGAGAAAACAATGGGTGCCAAAAGAGTGATGAAGTGACACAGCTCTGTCTCTTGAGGAAAAGTGGAGGCTCAGTCTAGCTAAATCAGGTGGGAGGAAGAGAGAGCTGGCAAATGGGCCTGAGAGCACAAAAACTAAAATAAAGAGTATACCTAAGAAAATTATATGAAAGAAATAATACTGATAAAAGCTGAAAATATTGGTTCAAGAAATCATAAAAACAGTAGCATTAACAATTAATTCCAAGAGTTGTTTCTTCAAAAGAAACAAAGAGCAAGAAAGGAGAGCCAGCAAGAGACCAGAAAGGCAAGAAGAAGGGGTGGAGGGAGGATAGAAAGAGGTCTTGTAAGTTTAATCAGGGGAAAAGGAAAACACATACAAAGTAAATGTATTGAAAGTGTATTTATAGAGGGCTCGATGCTTCCCAGGTCCTGGGCAAGGTGTTGGGGACAAACAGCTGTATAGACAGACACGTTGTCTGCCTTTGAGGAGCCGAATTTTAGTGAAGAAAGTGCTTCTTTAAACACATAACTACACAGACAAAATAGAACCCACTAAGTGAGAGATGTGAAGGCAAAGTAAAGAATACAGCGAGAGGTTGTAGCAAGGTCAGAAATTAACTTGGGGCTGGGTGCTGGATCGTGAAAGGCTATCTGAAGATGTGGCGTTTCAGCCAGCATCTGGGAGAGGAGGATGAGGTAACCAGACAAAGTGACTGCAGAAGCAATCCAGGGAGAAAACCAGCCCGTGTGAAGGTCTTGAGGTAGGAAAGTCCAAGTCACTGGAAGAAGGTGAGTGGGGCTGCAGTGAACAGAGGAAGCAGAGAGTTTCCAAGACTTACAGGGAGGGTGCCAACAGTGTCAGTTTGGCCAGGACTAGGGGGAGGGTCCTGGCGTGTAAGACTTTCAGATTTAAAACTGGGACAGTCCCAGGCAAACCTGGATGAATTGGTCACCCTATTTACAGGTCTCATTCAAGATTTTGGACCTTAGCAGCAGAACAATGTGGCAGCCATAATCAAGGCAGCCATAGTGAGGATGGAGAGAAATGGACGGATTCAAGAAATATTTAGATGTAAACTGACAGAACTTGAGGACAAAATGATAGCCAGGGAAGGGGTTAGGGCAGGGGGAATAATCAGGAATGAACCGCAGATTTTTCTGGCTTTGGAAACCAGAGGGATGTGCATTAAAAAGGAACGAATACAGAAAGAGACGACGCTAAAGTTGGTCTTTGACATCAGCTGTCAAGTGAGAGCTCGAGGTTTGATCACATTTGAGCACACAGGAATAAATTTTGGTACTCTCCATCTCTCCCACCCCTCAGATTGAAATAGAAAGTGGGCCTGGTAGAAACCCAAATGTGCTCCAGACAGAATTTGGAATTCAGTTTGAACCTGTAAAGAAGTGGAGTGTTCCTCACCCTGATAAGAGGACAAGACAACGTAAGAAGTAAAAGGAAAACAGGCGGCCTTTGTTACAGACCGCATTCAGCCTGCATTCAGATGGCATGTCAAGAACTGTATTACTCTTGTCCCCCAACCCAACTCTTAGACTCCCATAATTAACCCAGAGGAAGTTGTAACTGAAACTCAGCCTCCACATCTGGTTGGTTTTACCATCAGATAGCCACCCATCTGTTCACCAGGATGACAAGTTTACACACACACCAGAATCAGATTTTTTTCTTTTCTTTCTTTTTGGTGAGGAAGACTAGCTCTGAGCTAACACCTGTTGCCAGTCTTCCTCTTTTTTGCTTGAGGAACACTGATGTTGAGCAAACATCTATGGGAGTCCTCCTCCATTTTTTGTAAGTGGGACGCCGCCACAGTATGGCTTGGTGAGCAATGTGTAGGTTTGCTCCTGGGATCTGAACCTGTGAACCCCAGGCTGCTGAAGGAGAGTGCACAAACTTAACCACTACGCCACTAGGCTGGCCCCCAGAATCAGATTTTATTCCTCTTTTTTCCCTGAATTGACTGTCTTGGGAAGAGAAGAGTAGCCAGGTAAGGGGACGAGTGTGGGGAAGTTTTCTTCCCTACAAAAAGACTCTAATAAATCAGACTGTTTCTTATCCAAGTTATAGTATTTCTTGGCCCTTTATTCTTTCCAAATATGCTTTTTTGTCTAAAATTGAAGCATAATAATAATCATAATAAAATTCTCTAGAGTGTCAGGCTCCAAGTTAAAGGTAAGCTGTGATTCTGTATATAGAAGAGCTTCATAAGGAGAATCAGAACTCTGATCCCAAGTGCCTCGCAGTGTGAGTAAAAAGGTACCAAATTAAAAAGACTGTTGCCAAGTTTCCTTTCTTACTGTGTTTTGAGATTCAGAACTATAACGGCATGGCGCTCAGACTCTGTCAGTATGCATTGGACTCTGGTGGCTAATGTGCAAAGTCCATAATTACCCAGCCCTTCTGGATGTCCCAGCAGGAACCAAGTGGTGAGGACCTGCAGGCATCTCTGAGCCTCCTGAGGTTGAGGGCCGGAGGGTGGAAACCCCATTCTGGGCCAAGGGAAGTGGCAAGATGGTCATTGTTGCTGTGAGCTGGTTTGAATACAGATGTGAAGTGAAGAGGTGACAGTGCTGTGACGCTGTCTGCTGTCCAGGCTTGTGGCCCCAGTCCAGCCTGCAGCCTGTCGTTGTGAATACATCCGATGGGCGGCTGTGGCAGTGACTCCTCCTTCCACAGCGGTCTCCTGGCCTGTCGATGGTGTGTCCACAGCTGAACAGAAATCCCACCAGTTTTCCACTTTGCCCTGGAACAAAGGTTGACCCAGAGCCTCTGAGCTAATTCTGGCCACTGCTTGTTCTGTCAGTAAAGTTTGACTGGAGCACACCCGCGCCCGCCCGTTTATGGACTGTCTGTGAGGGCTTTTGAGCTATGATGGTGGAATTGAGTGGTTGTAGCAGGGGCCTGCAAAGCCTAAAATGTTTATCATCTGACCCTTTACAGAAATGTTGCCAACACCATTCTACGTGAATGAAGGTATCTGGAGTGCTTGCACCCAGAGAAGGTTGTGAGATCGTTGTCATCACCCAGACGTGGTAGCAGACACCTGCACTCGCACTCAGATGAATCTGGGGCTGGCCTGGGGCCTCGATGCAGACATCTGGTTGCAGCCGAAAGACATCGTCCCTCACATTAAATTAAAGATGTTAACGTGAAATTGACTGGTCTTGTAGTTTTGTTTTATTTAATTTTTTTTTTAAGTTTGGCACCTGAGCTAACAACTGTTGCCAATCTTTTTTTTCCTGCTTTTTCTCCCCAAACCCCCCCAGTACATAGTTGCATATTTTAGTTGTGGGTCCTTCTAGCTGTGGCATGTGGGATGCCGCCCCGCATGGCCTGATGGAGCGGTGCCTTGTCCACGCCCAAGATCCAAACCAGCGCAACCCCGGGCTGCTGTGGATCTGTCCATTCAGATCTCAAGTGCCTGCTAGGGAAACTGAGGCAGAAGACGCTTTATGTGGATTGGGCTGATGTGGTGAAAGTAGCAGCAGTCTGTCTTATGAGCCTGTGGAAGCCCAGGCTCAGGGTGGGTTATCCAGACACCAAGTCTCAGCCCAGCTCATTGGCTCAGGATGGGCGCACAGGTGAGCCCGCAGCTGGGAGGTGTCGGGCTGCCGGAGGAAGCAAGCTGTGGAGGCTCCATCCCACACACACTAGCCTTTTCCCTTGGTCTCTCTCACCTGCAAAACATCAGCCACCCATAAGTCTTGGTTGAACTTTCTCCACATAATTATGGAGCTCACAGTGGGATTTTGATCCTGGTGAAATCCACGCAGAATTCCACTATCTCCTGAAATGGCTGGTAATTCATCGAGCGTTTGGGTCTAGAGTGTGGCCTGAAAGTTTGTATTTCTAGCAAGTTCCCCACTGATGTTAGTGCTGCTGGTCCAGGGATGGTGCTTGGGGAAACTCTGGGTATAGGAACAACTCGTGTGTAAAACAGAGGTATGGACCTTAAAGCGTGACCTCCATCTCCATTTCATCCAGATCAGAACCCTGAATAGGTGCTATCGATCCATTTTACAGATGAATAGAGTGAAGTACAAAGAGATAAAGTAGGTGGGCTCAAGAAAAAATGCTTGGGAGCAGTCATCCGGCTGGGGAGGGACCGGGGAGGGGAGGGCATGAACCAGGAGCTGCAGATGTGAGGGCCAGCAGAGGCCCTGCAGACACCCTTAGTGAACAAAGTCATTCTGCAGCAGCTTGGAGCACGTCCATTCTGTCTCCAGTTGTCACCACGTGAGAACGGACGCCCAGTATTGCTAGATCTTCCAGTTTTTCAAGAGAAGTCAGAAATCCCAATTTGAAAGTGTAAATTAATTTTAAATTTTAAAAAATACTGTGCAAGCCAGGTGGTATACATCTGCCAGCTAACTTTGGCCCAGGGGCTGCACGTCTGTGCCCTACGTGTTAATGCTTTTCGATCCTTGCTGTGCAACTAGATTTCCTAGAGCCCTTTTTAAAACACGGATGCTGATGTAACAGGTCTGGGGCAGCTCAGGATTTTTAATTTCTAATGAGTTCCTGGGTGACGCCCGGGCTCCTGCTCCACGGACCGCACACTGAGTAGCAAAGCTCTGGAACAGAGCTGCTCAGTGTGTCTTTGCTGCTCAGTGTGTGGTCCGTGGACAGGCAGCAGCAGCATCACCTGGGGCTCGTTAACAATGCCTCCTCTCAGGCCCAGCCCTAGAAACACTGAATCCACATTCTGGGGCTGGGGCTTCAGAAGCTGTGTTGGAATGCATCCCGTGGACGATTCTTATGCACAAGGGACTGGGAGAGGCGCTGCCTGGGTCAGCGGGGCTCCACCTTGGTGGGCACTGGAATCACTTGAGGAGTCTTCAAAACACTGAGGCCTGGAGACTCTTTTCATTGGTCTAAATGAGGCTGAGCTCCGGAGTTTTTCAATCTTCTCGGCTCTAATATGCAGTGAAGGTTGACGCCCGTTGCCCTAGAAGTACATGTCAGGTTCTTCCATGTAATTTGTCCAAATTAGAGAAATAGGAATGTGATTTTTGAAAAAAAATAGGTGCTTTCAGCTAATGCCTGGGAGTGGGGGTTGCATATGCCTGAAGCCACCGTGCCTGCACAGCAGCTCACGTGCCCAGGAGGAAATGCCGAGAGGCGATGGGGGCAGGAGCCCTAACTCTTTCACGGGTCCCAGGAAGCCACGACCATTGGTTTCCCTGGCACTTCACAATTCTTCCCACAGCCAAGACCCTGTCGGGAAATGAAGCCAACACCACACTCGGCCACTTGGAGGATGATAACCAGCCAATGCCTGCAGCGGCCAATGGCCTAAGTAACCCATCCACAAAAAGCCCATCTGGCCAGGCAAAGAGGCCTGGCTTTAGTGCTCTGCCTGGATGCACACTTATGAAGCAGGCCAGTCTGTTTTCTGGTTTTATAAGTTAATTGATGACCAGTTAAATGTCCAAAATAGCAATATGAATCACAGCAGATAATGACCATCTGACTTCCCCTCCTGTGAGTGATGTTTGAACTCTCTGGTCTGGACTGTGGTCTCTAAAGACCAGTTGAGCAAGAAAACGGGACTAGTCCAGGGCTTCAGGACACAGAGAAGAGAACTGACATCAGAGTCCCAGAGGATGGTGGACTTGTTTCCAGTGGCAGAGTGCAGAGCGAAGGAACAGAGCAATAGAATCGTCAGGTCCACCAAGCATACAAGGAGAAGGAAGGGGAACTAAAGTAGACAATCAGCAACATGGAGAAAGCCAAACAAAGCTGGTGCGTCCTGGAGGCAGAATTTGGAAAGCATCCCAGAGGACCATAGGATGCAGGTGGATGCAGACGTTTATGGGATGCTTGTGGCTGAGGAGGTGGACTGGAAAGGAGATACCAAGGGCAATAAGCCTGTCTGGACAACATCTCCCATTACGTCCTTCCGCACTGGCCAGTTGGTCAACAAATATTCATTGAGCCCTGGCTATGGGCCAGCAATGGGTGGAGTTGGACTGAGCTGCTCCGGTTTCATTGATGACTAGTTTTAACGTGAACAAGCGTGTTCTGAAGGTTCATTCAGACATTTTGCAAATATTTATTCAGTACTTTTGTATTCCGAGTACTGTGTGTAACACTAGGGATACCACAGCAGAGGAAGCATCCTGGACAGCTGCTTCCCTCTTGGAGATTACAGGCTAGCAGTGGAGGCAGATCATAGACAAGCAAGAGAACGACACCGATAAAGATACTTCAGTGCTGTGGAGACAAGTGATAGGTACTAACAAGAAAACTTTTCCTTTAGGTGTATGGAGACATTTCCCAGAAGAAGTGACATCTGAGTTGCTATCTGAAGGGCGAAGAGGAGTTAAGTTAGCCAAAGCCGTTCTGAGCCCCTGGCAGAGGGCACAGAGTGTGCAAAGGCCTGGAGGCAGGAAGGGTCCTGACGTTTTCAAGAAATGGAAAGGAGGCTGGTACGGCTGGAACCTAGTGAACAAGGAGAAGGAACCAGCTCTTGCCAAGCCTAGTGTGCGATGCAAGGGACTTGGAGTTTTATCCGAGAGGAAGGAGATGCCATTTAAAGCTTTAAGGAATCAGGGTCACCTGATGAGTGAGTCTGGACACATTCTTCAGGTTGTCAGTGATGATGCCCCAGTCACTCCTGATAAATGGAGTTTTGCCTGAACTCTAATTCCCACCAGATCAGGAGTTCTCAAGATTTCCAGGTGATGGAAGCTGTCATTTCCCAGCAGCGGCCCTAGCTGGCAACTAAATTCATATTTCTTAGATATGATCCCAAATATTTGTAGGGCCCGTGTACCTTCTGATCTTCCTGCCCAAGAGATACAGCTCAGGTGACACTGCTGGGTTCACCTGAGCTCTTGGTTTGACTGCGGCATAGTCAGCTACTGTGTGCAGATGGGATCAGAGGCTCCAGAGCAAATGCATGGCAGTGTGCTCTCTGTATTTGTACATTACAGTGGTTGAAGTGACCCAGGATCTTCTTAGTGTGCTCTCTTTAGTGGTCATATAGGATCCATCTTCTCACTACAATCTCACTATATACTGTCATGCATCGCTTAATGACAGGAACACATTCTGAGAAATGCGTCTTTAGGTGATTTCGTCGTTATGTGAACATCATAGAGTGCACTTACACAAACCTAGATGGTATAGCCTACTACACACCTAGGCTATATGGTACTAATCTTAGGGGAACACCGCAGTGTATGCGGTCCATTGCTTTTCTGCGTTTTGGGGGAAGGCTCTCATATTGACCTCAAGTGTGTGTTTTGGAGGCTAGAGGACAACACACACAGAGACGTGGGACGTACACGTCCATAAACAGCATATGTCTAGAGACCAGTTCCCAGCATAGGGACTGTAGCTAAGCATCTCTGATAACGAGTAGGCTTCTTGAGCTCCCAACCATGTAAATGGATTTTCTTTGATCCTGGGGTTCTTGTCCATGGGTTTGAGGATGTCTAGGAAGTCCATGAAATGATATGCCAATTTCTTAGTGTAGATGATTGTTTCTGGGGAGAGGGTTGTCAGAGCTCCATCTAAATCAGTGGGAAACAAGGTTTCTATTCCTAAAGACGGCTCTAAGATTCAAAGACTCCAAAGAAGCCCACTGCCATGTGACCTGCTAACCACCTCTTTAGAAGTTATCTGAACATATTGCCACGTATGCTCCATTTAAACTCCTCTCACCATTTCTCAAATTTCTCTTCCAATTCTTTCCTCATCTGAGTCCACTGCACTGTTTTCTCCATAGAGTTGGATGACTAGAAATTCAGTATTCTGCCTTTAAGATCACCTGCCAATCTTATGACTGACACAGGATAAGTTTCAAATATCAGACATACTAAAAGGGATGTGGCCCCAAAAAGAGGAAAAATGCCTGTAGATTTGCACAGGGAACCATTCAGATGAGACATTTGCATTTCAGCAGGACTTACACATTCCTTATCACATTTCTGGAATGCCCAATAGGGGGGCAATCACATGCCCTTTATACAATATTGCTACAAACAAATATATGCTACACATTTGTTTGGAGAGTCTAACCAATTAAGGAAGGAATGAGAAACAAGTCACTGAAATAAATAATAGGAAAAGAAGAAATAAAAACATAGCACAGAGAACATACATAGAAATTCAAAGAAGTAACAGAATTATCAATATGAGTTAAATACCT